GATACTGTTATATTTGAATGTGATCTCCAGTCATTGAGTATGACAGTCTTGTCTCTTTAAATATTATAATAAGCTTCTCAGTTACAATGACCAGAAGAGAACCTCTACCTATCTGAAAAATTATCTGAAGAATAACCATAGACTGAAGATAAACAGTCCTTTTTCTCCAGCAACTTTACAAGGTTTTGATAATTTGCTCTCTTCCCGTGCCGGATAGATTATTACTCTCTGAGAAGAGGCTTTACCCCTGTCTATGACTTTAGTGGCATCCATTTTCCCTTCGAACTTTTGAATTAAGTTCAGAAAAATGCTGACATTTATGAGACATATTCCCCTGGAAACTATGAATTGTATACCTAAAGGTGCTCCTCAAATATATACAGATGGACATTCTGGTAGTGATATCTTCATCAGGACTTCTAAGTCTACTTTTAGAGTTAAAAATAAATATTCAGATTCTTGCTGTGTGTTCAGATCTGGGCTCATCTGTACCGAAAGACGCCTGATCTATGTGTATAATATTGCTAAACCTGGTTTTGCGGATACATGGATCCTCACTGATAGTCGATCATCAGTTCAACATCTAAGTGATTGGGCAGAGGTTAGGGACAGAGCTGGCATATCTATTCTGAACTTACTTTCTAGGCTTTCGGTTAATTCCGAGGTGCACATCCAATGGATTCCCTCCCATGCAGATATTAATGCCAACGATATTGCGGACTTTCTTGCTGCTTTAGAGTCTTTCCAGTCACATTATAAGGTATTCCTCCCGCCTTCTTAGCATGCCTCGTAGTGTAGAGGTCAGCACGCTGGGCACGTATTTCAGAGGTCCGTGGTTCGATTCCCGGCGAAAGCGTTGCTCATTTTTCATCACACCTCCTTTAAAAATAACCTAATGTCTCTACAGTAGCGCCCGAACTAAAAGAGTGGTGGATGATAATTCTCCACACCCAGGATTTGGCGATTGGGTCCCCTAAAAGCCCCAGTTGCCCTTTAAAAAGGGGAAGTATATAAGGTATTTCTCTCGCCTTCTTAGCATGCCTTCGTAGTGTAGTGGTATGCATGCTGGGGGCGTATTCCAGAGGTCCGTGATTCGATTCTCGGCGAGGGGGTTTCTCATTTTTCATCACTCCGGCTTTAAAATAATCTAATATCTCTATAAGATATGCTTTGCACCTATAGTGAAGTGTTCTCCGAGTGTAAGAAATCACTTAAGGATCTCTGGATCCTCCAGTGCATGACTGGACTCGAGAGTTCGCCCTGGTGGCGCCCTACATTTTGGAGGCCCTAAAAGCCAGCAGACTTGCATATCACGTTTTCCGGTTGATAACTTGAGGAGTCTCTCTTATGAACAAGGGCAGAAAGCTTTTAAGATCTAATCTAAGTGTAATGCTGCTCAGGCATCACCCGATCATATTTTATTTTGTCTTTATTTTACCTTGGAAGAGGTTTTTTCCAAAACCTCTTTTCTTTTTAGACTTTTTATAAGTATTTGATTTCGTGGAATTGGTCTAAATGTTGGAGCACTTCTGGGATTAGAAACAACTGCAACAACATTAAGTATCAGCTTAAAAGTCATAACAATAATTGCATGAATTATTGGTATTTCATGTCACAAATTATGAGTACTCTGTTAAGCGATAAACCGTTTTAGTAAGCGTTAGTGTAATTGGATAGAACAGAGTTTATTTCCATTTAGGTATACGTCGAATAAGTTCAGGATCTGAATATGAATTTTATTAACTACAGGAAAATGTATTTCAAAATTATCCTTTTGTTATCTCATACTTCGGTAGGTTGCAAAATTCTTCGTTACTATTGATCATAGTGTGGAGATTCATTTATTTTGACTAATAGTTAATTTTTAGTTAAAGTAATTTTCCTTTTCCCTCTCCTTTCACCCAAGCTTTCCTGCCAGAATTTTAATCAGTTATCGCGTGTTTATTCAATGAAAGGAGAAAGAAGTACTATTTAAACGAAGATTTCAGAAGTTGATTTTGGAGCCTGTATTTGATTTTAGAGCTTTAAGGCCACATTGTTATCTTGAATTAATAGCAATTTGATTCTGTGGCGTTGAGTGCTTCTAGCCATTAGACTTATTCTTCGACTTGTACGAGAATAAGGGCCTTCCTGCGCGATTAAATTATCCCGTGAGACGTTAGGCTAGTTTAATTACATTTTATTTTAAGTTCAAGTTTACTTGTTTAAGTTAAGCTAGAAGTGTTGGCTTATGTAAGCCCAAACTTTTTGTGATTGAATAAAGGGTCATTTATATCCTTCTTCTGACTTTGCCTGACGTCAAGATTTGAGGATAATTCATCTACAGTCTTTCTACAGTTCGTTAGTTTAAGATACCAAAGAAGACGAGAACTTATAATGGTAAAGAGAAAAATTTGAGATCATAACTGAAAAGATATACAGCAGCCATTAACAAATTGAAGGTTTCAACATCACGGAATGATAATCAAAGTAACCTTATTAAAGAAATGTAATTATTGTAGGCCAGATGAATGAACGTTTGCTAGACAAGAAATTCCTTTTCACCAAAACTTGATCATTTTGAGAGCAGAAAAAAAATTATAGAACCTGGAGAACAGATGTAAAAACCGGTGTATAATATATATTGCGGCAGCCGTTGTTGTAATTTTGTACAAAACAGCATCTACTTTTATAGCATGGTGTTGTTTATTAAAGAGAAAAAGAAATTCTTTGAAATTTAGATTACCTGTGCGTTAAGAAGCTGTCTTTTATCAACCAAATTTAATGTGGAAAATGTCTTTCAAATTAGATTTGATCTTTGGTTGCCAGAATCTTTTTTAAATGTTCACCTTTATAACAATTACTTCTAATTTCACCTGTTAATACTCGGAGAAGCAATTAAATTTTAAATGAAGCTTTATAAGCTTATGAAGCTACATACCTCATTTGGGTCTTTGCACCCAGACGGCTTCAACACGCACTATATATTCACAATGTTCACGATATGTTCCTCCGATATTTGAAATATTCAGCATGTACTCGATACGTGCACCTTTTATTTCATATGTTCAGCATATATTTGATATTTTCGCCATATCGATTCGTCAGGTATTTTCAGTATTCAGCCCTATACTAATACGTTCACCAGTGTTTTAAATATTCCCCATGTACTTCATAAGTTCCTCCTGTATTTGATACACCATGTATTTAAAAAGAGTTTACATAACATGCAGATGAGTATGGCTGGGTCCGCACGTCTTGGAGTATTTAGAGTTCTCTGAATGTTTGCGAGGAATCGGGATGAGGGAAACGTGAGGCACTCGTGACTCTCTTGGATCTAGATTGACAATATGAAGCAGCTATACCTGCTTACTTAAATAACTGATGCCCCTCGTGTTTTGATCTGTCCTCAGCCACTAGTAATATGATTTTTAAGTAAGAAGGCATTTTTAATTAACATTAGTTTTAATCTATGTAAATATCTCCAATACAATTGAATATAGCATGTTTCATCTTTAAGTCTTCTAGTGAAAATGCATTATATCGACGTAATCAATAATTATTTGTTTAATGGGAAAAAGTTCTTAATATAATCTAATCAAGAAACCAATTTAGCTGTTGTATATTCACCAGTAATAAGAAAACTCCTGTCTTTATAGGAAGTTTCGGATCAGAAGACACTACGTAAAGTGAGAGAATTTCATAATAAATACCGCGTTATTATTAAGAAAATTTTGAAAAGGGATGGCAGACTCAATTAAAAAAGTTGTTTCGTTCGAAGAATAGACTCTAAAAAAACTTTTCATATTTCATTGTGTAAATGCAAAGACCTTTCAGTTTGTGCTTGCAGATAAGAATGTGTGCAGCCAGTACAGTTTTTTAACCAATGAAAAAGCATTAAGAAGAATGGCTCTGAACTTATTCCTGAACAAAAACGAAACATACAACAATAATAAAATCTCCAGTTTCTCAATTGAGGATAATGCTTCAAGAGTTAATTCCAGCATCAGACAAAACCGTAGATTCAGATAGGTCAGCGGCGGTTATTGTCGGAGGTGCTTTAAAGGATATGAGGATTTTGACCAAAAAACGGTGTATCAAATGTTATCCATCACACTAAGATCAAAAAGGAAGTAGCAAATTTCGGAACTCTATATGCGTCCACTTCTTCTGTGGTGAGCTCTTGGCGGTTTTTTTTATTTAAAACATAGAAACGAGTTAATAGCTTCACTGCGTAATAGGTACACTAAGAATTACCGATGTTTTTGAGAAAGCAGTATAGAGTAACTTCATAAAGAGTTTTAACTAACTTTTGTAAATAAATTCAATAAAAAGTGTTTAAAAATAAATTAAATGTAATAAATTTAGGATGTTACTTTTCAAGCTCTTCCTTTCTCAGTGTAATTCAATGCAAAAATACCAATGATTGCATAAGAAATAAAAAAAGAATTAGGATTGAAAATGCTATAAATCCTATAAAAGATTTCTGTTATAGATAAAAACGGATGAGATACAGAGTTACACTTGATCTGCTAACTGACATGAAGCGAATTATTGCTGTGTCTGAAACAACGACAATGTCATGAGAAAGTTAAAAATTACCTTTTCATTTAAACATAATTTAGAACTCAAAAGCACTTTCTGGTGCTATGATATAACCAGAACTTGTGGTGATGAAACTAAACAGAAAAGTCAGAGATTTAAATCAAATGCTGGAACATTAGTGACAAGCTACACACTTAGTTACTATAATATAACAGAAGCGGGAACATTACTCTATAGGAGCATCAGAACTAAAATGTTAACAGCGAGAAAAGCCGAATAGTTGCAACTATCATAGCTGGCAGGAAACTAACACGTAGCTTGTACGCGATTCCAGAAGCACGCTGTGTCTTAAAACCTCAGATTAAATACTGGTTACTCAATTGCATTTTAGTGAAGAATACGCAAAGAAGTTATAGTAAAGACTGAAATCATAAATAACTGTTTGATTAATATAAATTGTCAGTGAAGAAATTTTAATCTTTCCATAATAGAACATTTATTAAATTTTATCTAATTGGTATGATACAGATTATTTTTTATTGCCACAAATGTAATTATTTATCGGATAAGATGGAGTTACACAAATCGATTCTTGCATAAGTAAGTTTTCTATTCTGATCACTTTATCTTTCTATGAACGTGAATTTCAAAGGCCTGTCTGGAGTGTTAATCAGTCTTGTGTACATATCGATATCTTCATAATGATATTCCACTTTAAAATTCCTAATGATCTGCAAAATAAAAAAGTGGGATTGAAGAGAGTTAATGCACAATTGTAATTTTTCTCTTATACATGTTACATGCAATCAAGTGGGATTTCAAACTAGCCATTTTCTATCAAATAAACTTTTAATCAGCATTTTCTGGCCTGGAATGAATTTTATTTCAATAGCCTAAGCCTTCCTTCCTTATACAGATCGAAGATTTATTATTATTATTTTACTGATTTAAATCTCGTAATTCATGCAATTAACTCAGCACAATACATTTTTACTAGCTCATTAAATGAATGAAAGTGTCTAAAGCTTACAGGTTTGATAATATTAAAAATAAAAACTTAGGAATTTATATGGATTTTACTTCAAAATTTTACCAACAAATTTTACAAAATATCTTAATCAGTGTATTATCTTCTGACATAAACAAGTTCATTATTTAATTTAAAGCAGACTTATTATTTAAGGTCATATATCAAGTCGAGGCGTTCTCGGCTAGAAGTTGTAAGGCTTTAAGTACAACATAATTTAAATGGTAATAAAATATAATTAATTATCACCTTTTATAAGAATCATCTTGACTGCACGTTTAATGTTAACTCAAAGTGAACCTTATGTCAGAAATCTTAACACTTCAATTAGCATGTTTATGTACTTAATACAACGCAATACTTCGCTGCTTTGCTTATTCAATCACCCAACTACTGCGTAGAGCAGGGGTTCTGAGCCTTTTTGCCCCGTGCACCTTTTTCGCCATTGCCCCTCCTTTTCAGAACTAAAAATATAAATATATATTATTACACTGTGTACTCTCAATTATATGGGTGCGAGTTATGCGTGCCCAGGCACTCTCACTCAACGCTATGCGCGAGAGTGTGTAAAAACAAACACGCCTATGTTCAGCATGCTCTAACAACCGCTAAATTGCGTCTTAGGTTTACCTTCAAAGATTACTTTGTACAGTTCCTTCTCCACGTGGATAGCGGACTAAAAGGACGAAAGGACTTCGTCGATCAAAGGTGATTTGAATACAGTGATAAAATAGCACTTCAAAAAATGCGAAATGAAATTCGACAAATATTTAAAAGTTCTTAAAAACAAAGAAAATTTACTGTTATTAGTTTATGCCCTCGTCGGCGTTCAAACACCGGATCTCCCGATTGCTAGTCGGACGTGCTACCTAGTTACGCCAAGAAAGCTTGACGTAAGGAAAGTATCTTATGACTCTTAATATGCCCAGATTATAAAGCCTTTAACTACTACTTCATATTAACGAATTTATAGGTCCTTTTGGAGTAAACATATGTGAATACGAAATCAGAAGAGGTGGGATAGAATGGAAACTAAAAATGGGTACTCAGAAATGTATATTAAATGTTACAAGTATTTCAAGTGCTTCAGGTTTTGGTCAGACACTTTTTTATTTATATTATTATCGACAACTCCCTTCATATTTGTGAAATGCTAGTGCACATATGTTATTGCAAGCAGGAGATAAAATTACGTCTGATAAAGCAAGATTATAAATTGTGAATTATTAGAACTTGTCTGAAACTTACATTTTCATCACGTGAAGCCGCCAGCCATTCAGCAATCTACAAATGTGTTATCGCATAAATACTGCATTCAGTTCCTCTTATTTTCATCATGGTATGCTTATTTATGCTCAAACCATTACCTTTCAGAAGCAGTTGCTGGGGTATGAACTTGGGCAACACCTTCTCGAAGAATGTCTAGAAGAACTATGTACAAGGTTTTGACTTGGGTGGAAAACCGCTCACGTGACAAGCGCCAGAGAATCAACAATTTAGCATTGCGTTTTTTTAACAAATTCATGTTTACCTTAAAGTCAGATACAGTGCTCGAACAGCTATGCAAATAATAAAACTCCTGATACGTAGGTTAAACGTACATGAACTGCCTTTTGTCACACTGGCGAAAAGTTTTACGCTTGTACGTTTTAAATTTAACATACAAGGTCATAATTCCAAGATTTATACTAAAAGCTCATGTACAACCAAGTTCTAAGTATGTTAGGTGTAAGACTAGCTAATTTTTAATTGCGATGATGGATTACAAATGAGCGATTAGCTTTTTTCAGTGGAATAGAAAACCTTATGTTATGTTTTGCATTTGTCCATGAATGGACAAATAAATAATATTTCAGTGAAACAAATTGTATAAAAATAAATTTTATGTCAAGGTTGAATTTTGCTTTGTTTTAAATTACAAATTGAACTACTTTTGTTGCAAACACAGACTATTTAATTTACCTGATTTTTCAAATGGTTTTATATATTTTAAATCTTCAGATGGGCAATTAGTGCATGAAATGAAAAGGAAGCAGTTTAAATTTTTTATACGATTTCCTTAAGTTACATGAACAATGTGAACGATAAGTAAGTTCTGGTTAGACAGAGTAATGCAAAATAACACTACTAATTTCAAATAAGTTTAACTCTGCTCATTTTTATACATTAATTTAATAAGCATCGTATAAAAGATAAAGTCTTCAAGACTTAAAATGTCATTTAAATGCTTGTGTAGAATGATATCCTGTCTTAATAAAATGTTTCCTATGTGTCATCACAGTCGTCGCAGTGAGCTTTGGGTAATGGTATTATATAACTAATCTCCTGAGTCATCGGATAATACAGCCTGAAATTTTTATCTTGATTAAAGACCCAGATTAAGGCTATCTGAAACTGGATCAAACCGCTTCGAAAAACCCTTATACTGAAATTCATTTTCGTTTCTGGAAATCGCTACTCGGAATTCAACGAACTCAGCATAAAAAATGCAGTGTTTGTCGTTATATCAAATAAATTTTGGAATTTATATCTGAGTGGCAGAAGCAGCAATAAAACACAAATGAGACAACATTTTATACGAAGATTTTTTTTAATTTATGAGGGTAGTATTTATTTCAACGGAATGTATTTAATTATATTATTATTTTATTATTTGTTATTATTATAGTATTTATTACTTTTTATTGCAGCATTAGAACTGATTACGTTAATAGCACTTAAGTCACTTTGGCCGCCCAACCGGTTAGCGATGCTGCCTGCCGTACCGAAGGGCTCCAGGTTCGAATTCCGGAGAATGCATGGATGGTCGTAAATGTATAGTGTCTATGCGGCTTGGGGGCTCTCTAAATATGCGGCAAGCCGAAAGTCTCCTCGAGAGGATGGTGGTAAGGAAAGAGGGAGTAGGAGACCGTCGAACCTGTCCCCCCGGGCTGCTCTCCATCAAAATTGGGGGGGGGGACTGTCTCGTAAGTAATCGACTGTCAACGACAGGCGCAATCTTGCACTCCTTGCGACGATGGATTTCGTGGGCTTGTTCTGGTGTTACTGTCAGACAAGTGAGAAAAGTCATAACAACAAGTCACTTTGAATTATACTATATTTAATGTGGTTAGCGATAATGGTTAATCTAATATACACTCATGTCCATAAATTAAGGATAATTCGCAGTCACGCGGAAATCGAACTCTAAAATAAATATATCACCTGTAAAATCACTACACACATCTTCAAGAATCATATGCAAATTTCAGGAAGTAACCATATGACACCGATGATACATCACAATGATGAGAGTGTAAGAGAGTGATATATAAGGAATACAGGCAAAAAAGTAAAATTGTTCGCAGGCGCTTTATAAGCATTTCACAAAGGACGCATTTGGATGATTTTTTACGTGGTAGAATTATCGGCCGTCTGGAATGTGGGCGTACCCAACTGGAAGTATCAGACGAACTTGGAATTGCCCAGAGTGTCATCTCCACGCTTTGGCAACGATTCCAAGATGATGTTAATGTGAGTAGACGTTACAGCACAGGTCGCCCCAGAGTTACAACGCCGAATTAGGACCGGTATTTGGCAGTTTTTGCCAAACGAAACAGGCGGAGCACAGCCTCAGACCTGTCTCGTCAGCTTTCTTCAGCCACTGGTACGACAATTTCAAGGCAGACCGTGTACAGACGCTTAGGGCAGATTGGTCTATATGCTCGTAGACCTGTCAGATGCGTTCCACTTCCCGCAACTCACTGTCGCCTGCGGTTAGCCTGGAGTAGAGAGCATGCATTGTGGACACCGAAACAGTGGGGTTGTGTGATGTTTTCCGACGAGTCCAGGTTTAGCTTGCAGTCTGATTCTCGCCGGACTTTCATATGGAGAGCTCCAGGTACCCGTTACCAACAAGAAACATCATGAACGACACCATTACGGTGGTGCAGGAGTGCTCGTTTGGGGTGGAATTATTCTGGATTCCAAAACTGGCCTGCATGTTCAAATTGGAACCATGACAAGCCAAATCTACCGGGACGTCATTCTGGAACAACATGTACTTTTGTTTCGGGGCGCCATGAGCGCACAATTTGTGTTTATGGATGACAACGCCCGTCCTCACCGTGCAAACATCGTAAGCGAATGCCTTCAATCGAAGGATATCACCCGTATGGACTGGCCAGCATTCTCACCGGACTTGAATTCAGTACAGCATGTGTGGGACATGTTTGGCCGACGAGTTGCAGCCCGTCAACCTCTTCCTACATGTCTACCGGAACTTCGGAGAGCATTGCTTTTTGAGTGGTGTAATATCCCCCAAGATCAGATGGATAATTTGATACTCAGCATGCCTAGGCGTTGTACGGACTGTATTGCATCGTCTGGGAGACATACAATGTATTAACAATCATACCAACTATGTAATATTGGTTTTTTGTAAATAGTTTTTTTTTTTTTTTTTTTTTTTTTAATTTGCTCCAGGGAGAAAAAATCGCTAATTTTTTTTAATAATATCAAACATATAGCATCGTTTTTTGCTCTTTACCTTTTGTTTAATAAATAAGATTTACAAATAAGTCAAATTTGTTTTGCTTCTAACTCTTCCTTTGCCCGATTTTGCATTATCCTTAATTTATGGACATGAGTGTATTTCTTTAAATATAATTGGCAAAATAAATTTATTAAATAAATATTTACAAAATTTAACAGTCTTATTTTCTCACCTCTGTGCTCACACAGATCACTTCCAATTCAGCCAACCTTCGACCAATACAACTTCTTGTTCCTATTCCAAAGGGAAGAAAAGCGAAAGGTGTGGTATTTTTCTCGTTTTTAATTATCCATCGCTCTGGAATAAATTGGTTTGGATCTTTAAAATATTTCTCATCGCGATATACAACTTGCAAAGCAACACCTATCACAGTCTGAAAGAGAACATAAGAGTTATTCAAATTTTAAGATTTAAAACGTTCTGTTTATTCTTTGCACGAATATTAAATATTTTAATGACTGAAAACAGTTGTTGCTCCCTGGGAATTCATCTCATATTACTTGGGATACTTCTAATAATTTTGGAAACTTAATGGTATTAACCGGCAATCTAACAAATTATCGTGCTAAATGTTTGTTATAAAACGTGCTAGTGCCAAACTAAATAATTTAGAAACATAGCTACTTGCATTTTATTCTGAAAAAGCAAGAAATAACAGTAATTTCAAACAGAAACTTTTCTGATATGCGAAATCGTTGTATTCTACCTGTATAAATTCCGGTGAAATGAAACAAGTTTATTTTGTTTCTGAAATATTTAATATCACTGCAAATTATTTAAATTCAAAATTATTCAAAAATCTGTTTTTGAATGTATATAGATTCTAAAATACTTTTAAAGAATAGTGTATTTTTTGTTACTATAAAAAAATTAGTTCCTCCCTCAAAAAGTTTTATGTTAAAAAGAATCTTTAATAGTTCTTGATAATTATTTTTACAGGAAAATATATCGCCATTATATTTTTAAGTTTTGTTATTAATTCTTTAACAACTAGCATAAGGATACAAAATATGGTTTCTCAGAAATTTCACTGCCAAAAATTGAAAAACTAAAATCAAAAATCAAAAACGTTAACTCTATAAATACTTTAAATAAATTTAAGAGACTAATTAAAAAATTCTACACAAAATGCTTAATAGCTTTCGCAGTACTACTTTAATTTCAAAATGAATGTATGTGTGCGTTTCTGAATGTTCTCTCATGGCATAAATTAAAGTACTATTTTGATTCTAAATTTTCAACATAAGAAGTACATGTACACAAACAGACATAGATACCTTATACAAAAAATATCTGCTTATAGCAGCATATATGAATGTACACATTTTTATGTAACGTTCTTAAGATAGAGACTGTAACAAAAATCGTAATGTAAAATGAACAGAAATTAATAGTAATTTAATTCTGATGCATTAGAATGCAGTATTCTGCATTCTAATGCATCAGAATAAACGTGTATGCTGAGCCGTTGTTAAAAGAATAAAATAATTATTAGTCCAAAGGGGGTAACGCCCAAAAGGCTATAGTCTCAAAACGGCATTTTGCGTCGTTTCACTTTCTGCGTTCACTTTTCAAACTGTTCCCACCAAATATCACCATGTGTTTTATTTAAAGAAGTTAAATAATTAAGAATCTGTATGAATGCATGAACGTTTCTCTCATTGTGAAAAAACGATAGTACCTAGAGCCATCCAATTTTGGATAAATTAGTCCTTACACCGAACAGGACACTTGGAAAACCGAATTTTGAATTTGCTTTATTATCGATTTCGAATTTTGTAAACCTTTAACGAATTTTTTATTAACAAACTTTACGATTTCAAAGCAGACAATTGCAACACTGTAAAATAGTAATAATAATAATAAATAATAATTATTATTATTATTATTTCTAGCACGCAAGACTGGGTATCGGAAATTCTAAAGATATGCTGTTTTTTAATATTTCGTGAAATTGCTATTGAATTGAATTTTATGCGGTTTTAGTGCGAAAACTTGATATTTAATAAATAAAGGTAACGCACAAAACGTTAAAAAAACGCCCTTTTGGACGTAATATAAAATCTAAGAGCTTTCAGATTTTATTTTTTTTTTTCCTTGTAAATAAAAATACTATTTCTAATCTTACCAAAAGTGGAGCTTATTTCGTTCGAGATGCTCTCTAATTCGATAAAATTCAGAATGTTCTATTAGATTGATTAATTAGAATAGAAATCTGCAGTTTTTATTATCTTGTACTTCCCCCCCTTTTTTTTTATTTGCATAAACTTATTTATTTAGCACTTTTATTACATCCATTTGCATTTGCGAAGAAAAGTTCCCTACAATTAAACTCAAGAACGAAATCAGCTCTCTCGGAGCGCATAAAATGAGCACCAACGTGGCATCTTTGTAATAAAAGCAAATTACGTCTTTCTAATACAAGAAAACATTGCTGTAACGGAATGCAAGGGTTCGTGAAGTGGAAAATTTGAAAAAAAAAGGGGGGGAGGAAAATCTGAGAGCTTTCAGGTTTTATGTTAAGGCCAGAGGGGCGTTTTTTTTTTTATTTATTAAATATCATGTTCTTCGCACTTAAACCACATAAAATTCAATTCAACAGCAATATCACAAAATATTTAAAAACAGCAAAACAGCATACCTTTAGAATTTCCGATACACAGTCTCGCGCGCCGCAGATAAAAAGGCTTTTTTTCGCATAGTATTGCCATTGCTCGCTTTGAAATCATTGAGTTTGTTAATAAAAAAATTCGTTAAAGTTTTACAAAATTTGAAGTAAATAATAAAATAAATTCCAAATTCAAAATGCGGGCTTCCAAGTGCCCATGTTCGGTTGGAGGACTTACGTTATCCAAAATTGGATGGCTCTAAGTACTGTTGTTTTTCACACTGCGAGAAACATTCATGTATTCATGCAGATTCTTCATTACTTAGTTTCTTTATATATAATACATGGCGATAATATTTGGTGGTAACAGTTTGAAAACTGAATAAACGCAGAAAGTAAAACGACGCAAAATGCCATTTTGAGACTAATAACCTTTTGGGTGTAACTATAATAACCCTTTGGGCTAAAAAACAAAACCTGAAGGTTTTCAGATTTTATGTTACGCCCAAGTGGTTTTTTTTTTTTTTTTTTTTTTTTTTTTTTTTTTTTTTCCCATTTACAAACACATCTTTCGAGAACATTTGTGCTAAAAATATTTAAAAACAGCATATATTTAGAATTTCCGATAGACAATCTAGCGCGCTGGAGATAAAAATATTTTATTCTGTACAGTCTCTTTGCAACAATTGAGTTTTTTTAAGCATTCATTAAAATTTTATAAAATATGAAACAGACGATAAAACAAATTCGGGCTTCCAGGTGCCAAAGTCCTGGTAGAGGACCATGTTATTCAAAATTTGATCACTTAAGGTATCGTTGTTTTTCCATAATGCGAGAAACATACATGCATTCATGCAGATTATTCATTATTTACTTTCTTTAAATATAATACAGACCTATAATATTTGGTGGCAATAATTTAGAAAGTGATACATCTCATTCAAGTGACTTCACGCAAAATGATGTTTCGAGACTAATAGTCCTTCTGGGCTTTTGCAGCTGAGGATGGTGGTTCGGTAAAACCATCGAAACTAGTCCTGTGAAAATTTTGAAAATTAACGCTGATTTTTGTTTTTGACTTCTGAATTAGTACTTATTCGGCGTGTTATTGTGGCTTAACACACATACTTGTTTCGAGAGCATTTGGGCTAACATCTTTTGGGCTAATAAGTGAAAAATTTACTTAATAATTCGAAACAAATTAATCTGAAAGTTTTCAGATTTTATATTGCGCTTAAAAGGGCGTTTTATTAATCTACACACACATATAAAAATATTTTAAAACAGCAAATGTTTAGAATTTTTGATAGAAGGTCTCTTGCGCTGGAGACAAAAATGTTTTATTCCGTACACAGTTGTCACTACTCCCTTTGAACAGTTGTTTTTTAATCAAAAATTCGTTTAAGTTTTATAAAATATGAAATAAATAATAAAACAAATTCTAAATCTAAATTTCGGGCTTCCAAGTGCCCATACTCGGGTGGAGGATTATGTTATTCCAATTTTGATGGCTCTAGGCACCATTGTTGTTTTTTTACAGTGCCAGAAACATACACACACTCATGCAGATTCTTCTTTATTTAATTTCTTTAAATATACTACAGGGCGATAATATTTGGTGGCAACCTGAAAAGTGAACCAACGCTTTTAATGATTCGACGCAAAATGGCATTCTTATCCGATTTTCATAAGTTTCAAGGTTCACTATAACCGTATAAAATAGCATTAATTGGATGAGATTGAAACGTTCGTTCGCTATATCGGGAAACTCGTCAGGTTTAATCCTAGTATACTTTACACGCGGGATTTGGCGAATTTTGGGGGCATTATGATGAGCAGTAATAGCGGTATTTATGATGGACATTAAACGAGTCACTTTGGTGTTGGTTACAATTTTCAAAATCGCGAAAAGTCCGTACTGTGTGCTAGGATTTTACTGCTCGTTATATCCCGAGTTCACCTTTCCAGACAAAATTAGAATAAGTTTGCTGTTAATTTATTTGTGCGTTTTTAGGTCTAGATTACAAAAATTAATTTTAACTCAAGTAGCTTAGCTGAAATAGAAACTGATTGTTTGTTTAGTCCAATAAAAAATATTCCTTTTTTTTAAATTTTTCCAAAAAGGAGAATTTTATATACTGATATATAAAAAATAAGGCATTTTATTTTTTAAGAGCATGATTGTTGTTAGAATAAAATAAAATAATGTAAACATAAAATTAATTTTTGTTTTAATAAATATTTATTTGCCTTATAGAAAAAAGACAATTTACATTCTTATCTGGTTATTTAGAATGTCTGGGCGGGTTACCGTCTCAGTTATTTTTTATGCTTAGAGTTAACATCACTGCATTTGTGAATACAGCGATGTTAAGTTTTCAGCGCCGCTCATTTAACCATGAATAAATAAATAAATAAAAATAAGAGTCTCAATTAAATTCCATTACTATTCTCATTTCCACATTTTTAGCAATTTTGTTTCACACAAAGAGAATATTTATGAAGCACTCAAGAACTAAAACTCATAATAAATTTTACAATTAACAAATTTATTAAAAACTTGATTAATTTGTTATATAATACAGACTAACTAAAATTTTGATTTTTCAAACAGTAGAGCATGTCTCAGATTTTATAACATATATATCATTTTTATCGTAGCATTCTTAGTTGACGAACTTGAAACTTTATTAAGTGAAATGCTCTAAGCTAATTTTTAATATACTTACTCCAGCTGGAACCCTGTATCCGGATATAACCACATCGTGATCCAAAGTTCGAGCATTACCTCTTACTATTGGGTCTAGCCTATGAAATAAAATTAATATCTAAGTTATGCGTTATTAAACATGATACCACTGAAGGAACTTTACTTAACGCTGTGTAGAATTAAATCAAAGCAAAGTATTCATGTTTAAATAAAATATACAGATTAAATTAATATTTAGGATAATTAATTTATTTCACTTCTTTATACAGAGTTTTATACATCTAAGAATAAATACAGTCAAAAGTCGTTAACTCGGACACCCATAGTCCGGAATGATCTATAATCCGGACCTCAAAGCTACAAACTTTCTGCGCATGCGTCGCGTTGCCGCATGCGCGTAAGATCTTTACGGCTGCAAATATGCGTGTGCGCATGCCCAAAATACGTTTACGCACGCGCGTTTAATGTATAACGGACGGTATAAGCTAAGCTAAAATTATCTAATTCAGTTAATGTTGCAGATTGTTGTTCCTTAATCTTCGAATTGGATCCGGCTTATTATTTTTTGCAGACTGTTAGAGAAATTTTATAAAAGTAAGCTTGAACTTTCGATTATGTCAAACAGAATTTCCGATATATATTTACTAATATGTAAAGGATCTACAAAGCGAAAGTATGTTTCGAAGTCCATTAAACAAAAAGTGGAATTGCTGCAAAAAATGGATAAAGGCATATCCTTTGTTTTTCTAACCATTCCGAAATCTGTTTATCAATTTCATGCTGCTCTGCGGGGGGGACACGCCGCAGCGCGCAATGAACTGGAAGTTGATCTGTCAGCACTATCCTTATCTTCAGGGCAGATGTTTTTATTTTATTCGGCTTATAATTCCTTACTAAATGTAGTATTTCATCTCGATGTACTCCGTCTTTGATATGATTTAAATCAAATTCCTCGTCATTATAATTCGCTTCCGATAGCGAAGAAATGTTTTAAAGTAAACAAATAAATATTAAGCTTTTTTTTTTTTTTTTTTTTTTTTTGTAAATTTTGATACCCTTTAGATCATAATTGTTCTTTATTTCATAAATTACGGTTTCATATTTTTTATTTTATAAATTTCTGCATGCCATCTTACCAGATTTAAACTGATGATCTATAATCCGGAAAATCGATAATCCGGAATCGCCGAAGTCCCGACGAGGTCCGGATTAACGACTTTTGACTGTAATAGCTTAGTACTCACCAAATAAAAGTTTCTACTAAGTTATTATCAGCTTGCTCGACTAACCTGTATACTAATTTTTTTTTTAAAGAAAATTGTATAATAATTTTAATGAGTCGAAGTAGAGAAATTCCAGGCTCCTGCTGATAATTAATAATAATACAGATGAAAAACTGAGCTTATTGCTCTTCAATTCCTTATTTGTCAATCAATAACAAAAAGAAGAAAAATTAAACATGTTATGGTTTGCAGGGTGGCAACAAACTAACCAGCGGAAGACAAAAATAGTTTATTTTTGATAGTGGTAGTTAAGTTCTTTTAAATTACTAAGTTTGTTAATTAAATTTAAAAGACAAACGTCTTGCTTTTTGCCCAATGCCAACATTTTTCTTTTAAATCTCCGAATTTTTTTGATTAAATTGAAAAAATAAATATCTTACATTTTGACGAAAACACATTACTTTTAAATCGCTGAGTCTGTTACGGAAAATTTCAGTAAGATCGTACAAAACATAAAACGCTTAAATAAGCAAATGAAAATTCATGATTCGAAGTGCAATACTGGGATGGAGAATTACGTGTATTCCAAATTTGGGGGTCTCTAGATTCCGCCGTTTTTCCAGAATGCAAGGAACATACATACATACTTACATACATGCATTCATACATACATACAGTTTCTTCATTATTTATTAATACAGATAGTTTCAAATTATAATTTTTAGCAACAAAATCTTTTACTACAAAACTTTCTCAAAATTCCCTTAGCATAACATTTTTACTATCTGTTATTCAGCACGTTAAAAATGCATAGAATAATGGAAAAATCGGTTTGTTGGATAAAGTTCCCTTTGTAAGGATTTATTTATTTTTATTAACCAGTTATTTTATGTTCAATAGCTTTTCTGTCTCTCTCACTTCCTTTTTCTCTGCCAGAATGTAAATTTTAGCTCGCGTGTAATCAAAGGTGGTAGAAAGAGATAGCATTTAAAGGAAGGTTTTAGATTGTTTAATCAGAGTGTATTCCGCTTGCTGAGTTGAATACCACGTTACTAATTGAATCTCTTGATAACAGTCTGTTTGCGGCGCTGCGTTATTCTCGCTATCAATTTAACCACACCGATATTAGGTTTCACTGAACTTGCGGGTTTTCGCTCTGTGCGGTCTTTGGTTAAACTACGACTTAACATAGTTTAGTTTAAATTAATTACTTTTGAGTTGCGCCATAAAGCCTGGCTGGTCTTGTAAACACAAGACGTGCCTTCTGTTAATTCATATGAGTTTAATAAAAGGGTTTTTTACACTGTTCTCATTTTGTCTCTCTTTGTTCTAAACATAGTTCTAAACATAGCTTAGCGTTCAGATTTGAGTCTTAAGTTAGAAAATTTTGATTCCAAAGAAGCTGTAACTTCATAAAGCTTCCATATGAAATTGAGCGAAATAGTAGCTAAAGTATGATGCTGAATATAAAGTTTGTTATAAACCTTTTAAAATGGCTTTGCAAGAATGGCTACGGGAAGAAAGTCTGGGAAGAATCACATTTATGTAGACTAAAGAAAGAAAAAAAAAAAAAAGAAAAAAAAAAAAAAAAAAATTAAGATTTTTTGGCAAAGAAAAAATATTTTATTTTGTATCTTAGGTTATAAACTTTACTTAAAATGCATATAATTTAGTTGGTTTTCCCCATGCGTAACGTGTATATGAGCCAGTTTCCCTTAGAAAGTCCTCCACGAAGGCATCCTACCCTTAGACAGATAGCTATAATGGGCTTTGCCATAATTAAATATACCACACCACACACCATATAATTTAGTTTTCAAACCGTGCTCCAGCAGCAAAATCTTTCAACCGAAATTTTCGATTTTTGATTAGCAGGATTACTATCTGCAGAATACAGTATAAAGTAAATACGAATAAAAGAGAGAAGAGAAACACAACCAAGTAAAACATAAAATTAGGTAAAGCAACAACCTTGTGTATGGCTCAGATTTTAGTTTAAATTTCTACTAAAAATGGATAGTTTTAAATTTTAAAAAACTACTATCTGCAGAATACAGTATAAAGTAAATACGAATAAAAGAAAGAAGAGAAACACAACCAAGTAAAACATAAAACTAGGTAAAGCAACAGGCTTGTGTATGGCTCAGATTTTAGTTTAAATTTCTACTAAAAATTGATAGTTTTAAATTAAAAAAAATTTTAGTCCAAATCTACAGATTTAGACTAAAATTTACTCCAGACACAAGGTTGTTGCTTTGCATAGTGTCATAAATATGAATACGTTTTCTTTCTTAAGTCTTCCAAGGAAGATAACGTTATAGTAGATAATAATCAGCCAGTTTGCTCAATGAATTATCAGCTTATCTTCAAGATACAGACTTAAGTAAGACTGAACTTTATGCATTTAAGAAATGTGTAGCTCAGCTAACAATGATGAATACACACAGAATCTACACAAAATTTAATTTGGTTTACATTTTATGATTAAAATAGATAAAACACAGCAGCTGTTAGTATCAAGCTTAAAACTATCACTACTTCAAGAAGAATCCAATCATTATCATATTTCCGATTAAACTGTTTTAAAATAGATTTTAAAATCTTATAGTTTTTCTGCAATATCAGGCAAGCATATGAAAAGAAAAAATATATGAGCCATAAATACATCGAAGCGCAAAGAAACAAAGAAGAAAACAAAAACAAAAAGTCCTCACTTAAAAAATAAATTGAATAAATTCCAGTTTATACATAGCTGTTTTACATTTTTTTAAATGCTGTTTACCTCATGGATTCTTTCAAGCACGATTTCAGATACCGAAGCTCGCCAAAAACAGTTGGAGTTATTTTATCGCTTTCATTTGGCAAAACTTTCCGTATTTCTTCATACAGTATTTGTTGCTTGTCCGGATTCTTTGCCAGGTGATATAAGAGGAAGCCCACAGTATGAGAAGTCTAAAATTAAATAAATATTTTGTTCATAGAGATAAAAGGCTGTATCAACACTTTAGAAATCCTCTACATGTAATGAAAATATCTAATTTCGTTATATATAATGAAAGAAAATGTAAGAAACAGTAATTTTTTTCTCATTCTAGAATACTGAATTTCTTATCTTTCTCTTAAATATATTACTTTTAAAACTTTAACTTAACGTAATCAGTATTTAAAATTTACTAAGGATTTTTTTTAATATTTAATATTTACGAGGATATAAGAAATAAAATTAACTAGCAACCTAAAAACTTAAAATTAAACTTTAACACCTTGAAAAAGAGATTATGATTAAAATATTAAAAATTTTAAAAAATATCAAAGTTATAAAAAGTTTCCTGGAAGAAATTAAATATTTAATCAACTTTTATTAGCTCAGAGAATAACTAATCAATCGGTCGTTTATGCGTTAATTTATAGTAGAGGAATTGGATAATGAATAAAATTAGAGTTAGTTAAAAAGTATAGTCCCTTTTTTTCTTTTTAAAATATTGCAGATTTGTTGTTGTGACCTATCTCACTTGTCTGATAGTAACATCAGTAATTCACGAATTGGAACTACTGTAGAATTAGGTGCCCTTCGATTAGCGACATTTTTTTTTAAAATTCTTTTGTATTCAGGCTGACTCAGCAACAACTTTGATAGGAGACTGAAAGGATTAATTAATAAAAAAAATAAAGCCTGAAACTTCAGTCTCTCTAACAAATTATAACTAACTTCATTTCATTCTTTTAAGGTAGTTCGGTCCGAGGTTCGAATCCCGCAAACGGGCTGGCTGCATGGGTGTTTTCGTGGTTATCCCCATGTGCAACGTGTATGCGAGCCAGTTTCCCTTAGAGAGTCCTCCACGAAGGCATCCCCTCCCCTTAGGCAGATAGCCCTAGAGGCTTTGCCGTAATTAAATAACCTCAACATACCAAACTTAGAGCATTCTTTTAAATTTTCACCATGCACTTTTCTAACTGAACATTCGGCAAGACTCGCCGGTTACTTCAGTCTTTTAGTTACCTTTTCACCGAGAACTTCGAAGACAGAACGTAGATTGATATCGCACTATTTTATCAAAATGCAACTGTACATCGTCAGCAAAGTGCAGAGCTTGACCTCAAATCAGAATTATTAAGGCGTGTGTGAATCGTGTGCGTTATGAATACAGGTTGTGAAATGCTAATCAATGGGTTACAATTTGTATAGCATACCCTGCGTTAAGAATGCGTAACGAGATGGAGCCTGATGATTTTTATTTAGCTATTATTATTGGAAATATGGCTCTGGCAAGGCCTTCCTTAAGAAATAGAATAAATAAAATGCATTAATTAACTCTTAATAAATGAAATTTTGCCTTGTTAATTCAGTTTGCAAAAATTCTCCACAACTTCTTAAATCAATGCCTAGATCCAGGATCTCTCGTTTTGCTGATTATCATCTAAATGTCAAGAGATCTGGCAGTGAATTATCGAAGCTACTAGCATCCTCAAAAGTGTTACGGAAACTCTCATTTCATCATCAACAACTTCTTCTTAACAAGGTAAAAAAAAAAAAAAAAAAAAGTTATCTCAATTGATTTTATTTTGAATTTATTATTTTGATTGTAGAGATGCTATGTGATAATTAATAATAAAAATTTATCAATGAGAAGGAGGAAATAAAATAATTTAAAAGTGTTTTATTTATTATGATATCGTTTTTATTAATATTATAACTGTAGCATGGAAATAGAAACTGCCAAGGAATTTCTCATAAGAATCCAATGCGAAACACATTTTCCAAAAGGCGTATTGACGGCCTGCTTAGTTTTTATTATCATTTTGACTAAATCATACATTAATTCGTGTATTATTCAACTACAGTCGTTTTTCAAGATCTTTGAAATTAATATTTTAAGGGGCTTTACCTTTAGTTACCATGCATAGTCAGGAATTTAGTTGAACTTCTAAAAATACTTAAGTTGGATTAAAAGACAAAGTCTAAAAGCTTTCAGATTTTGTATTATGACCAAAGGGCTTCAGTCTTTTGTATTATGACCATTCAACGTTTTGTGTGTTACCATCATTTATTAAATATCATATTTTTTGCGTTTAAACCATAAAATTCAATTCAACAGCAATATGACAAAATAGTGCAGAAGACCATATCCTTAGAATTTACGATACACAGTCTCGTGCGTTGGAGATATTTTTCCCCCCATACAGTGTTGCCATTGCTCGCTTTGAAATCGTTAAGCTTGTTAATCAAAAATTCGTTAAAGTTTTACAAAATATGAAATCGATAAAAAAAACTCCAAATTTGGGCTTCCATATGACCATATTCCAGTAGAGGCCTACGTTATTCAATATTTCATGTCTCTAGGTACCGTGTTTTTTCCACACTGCGAGAAACGTACATACGTTCATGGAGATTCTTCATTATTTAGGCTCTAAAATTTGAGGGCAATCATTTGAAAATGAAACCCAGTTTTATAGTGGAAGACGCAAAACGCCAAAACGAAATTAATAGCCTTTCTAGGCAAATTGCTCCTTTGGGCTAAAAGGGGTCCACCAGCGGCCGGGCAGTAAATTCGCTGAACACTGGTAGTTCGGTCCGAGGTTCGAATCCCGCGAACGGGCTGGCTGCACGGGCGTTTTGGTGGTTTTCCCCCATGTGTAAAGTGTATACTAACCAGTTTTCCTTGAAAAGTCCTCCCCGAAGGCATCCCTCCCCTTAGGCAGATAGCTCTAGTGTGCTTTGCCATAATTAAATAAACCAAACCAAATCAAACCTTTGGGCTAAAACGAAAAAATGGGTCTTTTTTCTGGAATATCTGGTTTATATGCTTCGAATGTATAGCTTAATGTTTGGCTTCCTGGAATATCTGGCTTATATGCTTCGAATGTATAGCTTAATGTTTGGCTTCCTGGAATATCTGGTTTATATGGAGTGTCATATTAACAAAGAGAATAATAAAAGATATCGAAGAGAAAAGGGGATGGACTCCCTCTCTTTCGACTTCGTGCTAAGTGTATGCAAAGAGCAATTCTTCATCATGAATATATTTATCGTGCCTTCTCATAGTAATGAACAGTTGATTTTACACAAGCGCTTGTTCCAGGTATCTATACAGCAGCTGTCCGTTAAGATTATAACATTATCCAGTAATTTGCTTAAAAAAACGGGAAAAAAATGGAGAGTCAGAGAAACAAGCGCAAACTAATTATCTACATCTTACATTCATGTTCATAAATTAAGGATAATGCAAAATCAGGCAAAGGAAGAGTTAGAAGCAAAACAAATTCGACTTAAAGCTTATTTATTAAACAAAATGTAAAGAACAAAAAAAGATACTATATGTTTGATATATTAAAAAATTAACGATTTTCTCCCCTGGAGCAAATTAAAAAAAAAAAAAAAAAAAAAAAAAAAAAACCTATTTACAAAAACCAATATTACATGGTTGGTATGATTGTTAATACATTGTATGTCTCCCAGACAATGCAATACAGTCCGTACAACGCCTAGGTATGCTGAGTATCAAATTATCCATCTGATTCTTGGGGGATATTACACCACTCAAAAAGCAATGCTCTCCGAAATTCCGGTAGACCATGTAGGAGGAGGTTGACGGGCTGCAACTCGTCGGCCAAAGCATGTCCCCACATGCTGTACTGGATTCAAGTCCGGTGAGAATGCTGGCCAGTCCATACGGGTGATATCCTCCGATTGAAGGCATTCGCTTACGATGTTTGCACGGTGAGGACGGGCGTTGTCATCCATAAACATAAATTGTGCCGCCATGGCGCCCCGAAACAAATGTACATGTTGTTTCAGAATGACGTCCCGATAGATTGGCTTGCTTTCATGGTTCCAATTGAACATGCAGGTCAGTTTGGAACCCAGAAATAATTCCACCCCAAACGAGCACTTCCTGCACCACCGTAACGGTGTCGTTCAATGATGTTTTCTTGGTTGGTAACGGGTACCTGGAGCTCTCTCCATATGAAAGTCCGGCGAGAATCAGACTGCAAGCTAAACCTGGACTCGTCGGAAAACATCACACAAGCCCACTGTTGCGGTGTCCACAATGCATGCTCTCTACTCCAGGCTAACCGCAGGCGACAGTGAGTTGCAGTAAGTGGAACGCATCTGACAGGTCTACGAGCATATAGACCAATCTGCCCTAAGCGTCTGTACACGGTCTGCCTTGAAATTGTCGTACCAGTGGCTGAAGAGAGCTGACGAGACAGGTCTGAGGGCAGTGCTCCGCCTGTTTCGTTTTGGCAGTAACTGCCAAATACCGGTCCTCATTCGGCGTTGTAACTCTGGGGCGACCTGTGCTGTAACGTCTACTCACATTACCATCATCTTGGAATCGTTGCCAAAGCCTGGAGATGACACTCTGGGCAATTCCAAGTTTTGTCTGATACTTCCAGTTGGGTACGCCCACATTCCAGACGGCCGATAATTCTACCACGTAAAAAATCATCCAAATGCGTCCTTTGTGTCATAACTATTCGGTTATTGCACTGAAATGCTTATAAAGCGCCTGCGAACAATTTTACTTCTTTGCCTGTATTCCTTATATATCACTCTCTTACACTCTCGTCATTGTGACGTACCATCGGTGTCATCTGGTTACTTCCTGAAATTTGCATATGATTCTTGAAGATGTGTGTAGTGATTTTACAGGTGATATATTTATTTTAGAGTTCGATTTCCGCGTGACTCCGAATTATCCTTAATTTATGGACATGACTTTAGTTATGTCTTAACATAATTATAACTTTTGAAATGAAACTTACGGTATCAATTCCTGCCATCAGCATATCGGTAACTGTCACCATAGCTCCCGATGTATCTAAACCTTTGGTGAGAAGCATTGATTGAAGCAGCGTAAGCTCTTTGTCCTCAACAGAAATCTTCTTCAGGTTTTCCAACGAACGATTTATATATCTAAAAGCAATTCTGAAAATACATTATTGATTAATAAGATATACGGTATGATTCTTAGAAATGTTAAGTATTTGGCCTTTAATTTTTTTTATTGCTTCTTGTCGTCATAAAATTTACTTTCTCTTAAAGCTGTATGTATAAAAAGAGCATAAGCTCAATTTTAAACGATTCTTCTTTAGATTAAAGGAAGAGTCTTGTAGAGACACTAGGTATCTTCTTTTTTTCTTTTTGAAGTAGGAAAGATAAAAAATGAGTAACGCCTTCCCTGGGAATCGAACCATAAATCTCTGGAATACACTCCCAGCGTGAATACCACTACACCACGAAGGCAAGTTAAGAAGGCGGGAGAAATACCTTATTAATTATTACCTTAGTCTAATTAAAATTTGATTTACAGTGTTTCATAACGATTATCGATCTTATTTTTGAAGTAGAACGTTACAACATCTCTATACGTTTTAACTACTTGGATGGTGTTATTATAGTCTTAGTTTGTTCTGCGCAGTGAATTATCACCACCAGAATAGCTAATCACCAAGAGAACGGACAGCAGAAGTAAAAAACTTCGAGTTTACTCTACCTCGCCACTTGTGAGTGCTTAAACTAAAATATACGAACACAAATTTACCAGCCAACCTAGAATTGGTTTCAGCACACAAAAACTTCCTTTCACACCAGAAATAAATTCAACAAACTAAATATAAAATACGCAGAGAGTACAAGAATTCCTAGCTCTCGACAGAATTTTGAACACAATTACACATCAAGCAGGATCTAGCCTTTATTTAATATAATCCCAACAAGTACAGCTTTAACGTAGTTAACAGTTTATCTCCGATAGTCCGGTCTGCGGTAGCAGGCCAAAAGTTTATACTCCTATTCGTAAAATTCTAGACTTTATTACATCATTCTAGAATTAGCGAACCTAGTGCAGAAATGAGGCAAAAAGAAAAGAATTTAATTAAATCAATAAAGATTTTTTAAACGACTTTTTATTTAAAAAATTCTGAGCAACACTGACAGCAATTATGAAAAACGTTTGCAGTAGTATAGCAATATTTGAAACATTGTTCTGGAGGAACTAGAGAAACCTGCAAAAGTTTAAAAAAGCCGCTCTACCCTGTTTTTATTTTCCCCAAACGATAAGGCAAATAAAACTGACATGTTTTTTTCTGAGCAAAGAATTTTCTCTTATTAAAGCCATCGTGATCATAATTTGAGTGTCGTATTTTACGTTGAAAATTTTCGAGAAATATAAAAGATGTAACAAAAATATGCAGCTGTTAAAATTTCGTTGCGATCTCTTTGAATACTTTAGTTAGTATTTGAAACATTATTCTGGAGGAACTAGAGAAACCTGCAAAAGTTTAAAAAAGCCGCTCTACCCTGTTTTTATTTTATTTTCCCCAATTTTTCATCACAATTCATTCTCGTTATTCTTCACCTGCTTCAAGAATTCACATGAGTAGTCCTTATAATATACACTGCTGGCCAACGTAAATGCAACACCCTGAAGGAAGCATGCAAATAACATGAAATTTACAACATGCATTAGCGGAGGTGAGATATGCAAATGATTAGAATTTCAGCGAAGACGCACATCACGCGCGCCTGTGGCGCCACTTCAAAGCGCTATTTAAGGCTTGGAGTATTCGACGATTTCAAGTTCGGCAATTGTGTTTTTCTTGGGATTTTTTCAAAAAAAAAAAAAAAAAAACCGATCGATTATGCCTCGTAGTAAACAGCGATCATCGTTTGATCAAGTATCCGAGTTCGACAGAGGAAGGATAGTGGTATACCGAGAGTGTGGATTATCTTTCAGGGAGATCGGTAGTCGCGTTGGATAAAACAAAACAACTGTAATGCGGATATGTGACCGTTGGATGCAAAAGCGTACGACGGGCCGACGTGTTCGATCGCATCCACCTCAGTGCACCACTTCACGTGATGACAGGAACATTGTGCGTATGGCAGTGACGGATCGCTCAGGTCAAATCACGAACCATAGCACAGCACATTTATTCTGTAACGCATCATCCAGTGCGTGCGCGTACTATTCGACGCCGTTCACAGCATAGCGGTCTGTCCGCGAGACGTCCATCGCTTCGTCTACCCTTGACGCAGAACCACAGACGTCTCCGCCGCCAATGCTGCGATGAAAGAAGGATGTGGACGGCAGAATGAAATGAAATTGTCTTTACTGACGAATCACACTTCTGTCTGCAACACCACGATGGTCGGATTCGAGTCTGGAGATACCGTGGAGAAAGGATGCTGAAGAGCTGTGTTATGCACCGCCACACTGGTCCTACACCGAGTATTACGGTATGGGGCGATATTGGATATCAATCTCGCACTCCCCTAATACGCATTGCCGGTACTTTAAACAGTCAACGCTACATCTCCGGGATGTTGGAGCCAGTTGTCCTTCCTTACATTCAGGGCTTGCGCACAGCCATATTGCAACAGGATAATGCGCGACCACACGTGGCATGTGGCATGCATTGTCCAAGGGTTCTTCGTCAATCGCCAGATTGAATTGCTTCCCTGGCCGGCTCGTTCTTCGGAACTTTCGCCGATAGAAAGCATGGTTGCTGAACGATTGAACATCCCAGGCTGCCACACCAGATCAACTTTGGCAATTTGTGGAAGCTGCTTGGTTTGCTGTATTCCAAGAACACGTCCAAAGTCTCTTTGAATCAATGCCGAGGCGTATAGCAGCGGTGATCTCCAACAATGACGGCTACTCTGGCTACTGATTCTGGAAGGAACCACACTTCACAGAAGTCTATATACATTTAATCATTTGATACTTGGTCAACATGTCATCTACTAAATAAATGTTTTTGTGATATCTCTTGTCTTTCTTGGTGTTGCAGTTTGGGTGATTCATTATGGCAAAGCACAAAGGGCTATCTGCCTGAGGGAAGAGATGCCTTCGTGGAGCACCTTTCAAGGTAAACTAGCTCGTATACACCTTACACACGGGAAAAACTACGGAAACGCCCATGCAGCCAGCACGTTCGCCTGGAACCGAACCCAGTTCGGAACTACCAGATTTCAGCGATTTTACTGCTCGGCCTTTGGTGGGCGCAGCTATAATATGAATCACGTGAAAACTGCCGCTCCCAAATATGTGCCTTCGATGAGGACACTTACCGCTTTAGTTACGCCACTGTAGCTGTGCAACATCCTAAATGTTTCTTAAGCGCAGTATGTTCTTTAACTCGAACTTTCGATAACTAGTTCAATAACGTCATTAAAATGAAAAAATTCAACACTTTTTAAAGAATATTTCAAATATGAAATGATTGACATAAATATGAAAAGAAAGCTGTCTTAATATTTATATAATGAATCTGAAGCTGCTCTTATTTCATTACTCACTCCGTAAATACATCTGCTGCTTTTATGAATTTCTTCCAGGTAGGGGTAGGAAAGTATTTCCAAAACTGAAAATTACCAGCAAAAGCTTCGAGTTTGTTCATGAGGTCAAACTGCGTTTGTACAGAATTTATCATTCGTAAACCATCTGACTCAGGAAGCAAATTGCTTTCAAGGCAGCCCAATCTTGTATCCAATCCAACAAATGCGATAGCTGAAATAAATGTCAAAACAAAATGCATTAATATAATCGTCTTTTAATTTCTTAATTTTTCCTAATGCATTGCTATTTATATACAAATTTATTATTAAATGATGAAAAATCTGCTTGAGAAAAAACGGCGACACTTAGAGATACTAAATTTTTTATCACACATAGTTCTGTATCCGAACATGAGCACCTCGAAGTCTGTACTTTGAACTTGGTTTTTATTTATCATCGTGCATAATCGTTAATCAATTTTTATTTATAAATTCTGAGGTTTAAAAGCTATGTGATGCGTCTACTCGAAACAAAGCACTTTTAACTTTCACGCTTCAGTGTGTAGCCATTCGATAGTGTTCAGATATTTATCTGTCAAATTTAATCAACAAAAGTCAATTCAGAATCAAGGTGTTGCCAGGGCCAAACACAAAGTACTTTTTATCTTCCACGTGTTAGTGTGTTGTTACTCGGCAAAGCTTTATTGATAAATTTAATTGATAAATTTAAGTGAAACAACACAATATCGCGTTTCGAGATTACTAGCCCTTTTAGGTTAATAACTGTATTATTTCCCAAAGACGTTTTTTCAGAAAATTTCACTAAGTAATGTTCGGTTTTATATGTTTGCATTATTATTTATTTCTAGACAAACATCTATGCGTGGTAGCAAATTCAGCAATAATATGGACATTTACGTACTGTTCTTATAAAAACCTCAAACAAATGAATGGAGTTGCCAGTTGCCATATTTTAAGAAGAAAAATCCAACATTTTGGGCATGCGGGGATGATAATAGTTGCATATAATAACCCTTAAATTAAGAAATGTGCTTTTATATTAATGCAATACTATATTCTGTAGTTTACTTATGACTTTCCCTCCGAATTAAAAAAAATTAAATAAGAATTAATTGGAATAATTAATTGTTTTCACTTACTGTATTGTATAGTACGTATATGCTTACGTGCATTCTATTAGTGGTCAGGTAAGCCAGACATTAGCACCATGTAAGCCAGATATTCAAGCAAAACAAAAAGGCGCAGGATTTTTATTTCCTTGTATAAAAGTCGAGAAAAATTTTGGGTATCATATTTTAACGAATATGTTCATTTTGACCGCTCTCGAATCCATTTGGTTGATTTTTTTTTTTTTTTTTGGGTATATGTACGTACGAATAAAATAAAGGACTCTCAATGGTTTCAGAATGGACTTTTTTTGTCACGTCAATTATAGCTATGTGTCTTGCATAACGCAGAAACGATTAGCTGTAGAACATTGAAATTTGTATATGGAACTGTTATAACGCCTAGCTGTGCATCTCCCTTTTTCGCTGCGTCCGGCCGCACCAACGTATATATATAATTTTCCACTGTGATACCCGTCTCGGGGAACTCTGTTGGTAAATTCTGCGTTTTTTGCTTTAAAAGTTATTGAACTGTGTTGTTCTGATGTTCCGGTTAAGGTTTTTATGACTTTAATTACTCTGCATGCAATAATTCTAGAATTGTCAACAATTTAAAAGTGTATGTGTCACTAAGCCTACCGTGGCGCAAATTTGTTTACGCTTAGTAGTATAGTTGGAATTAAACCAGCTAGTGCACCAGATTCAGTGCCGATCTGACCAATGGGAGCAAAAGTTAGCTTTAAATTTTGATGCATCAAAAATTTTTCCCATTGACCAAATTGCTTGTTCTTCTGTGGAAACTCTTAATTTTAATTTTAAAAATTGTTTTCCTTCAACTGTTTTAATTGTGTTTGGTGTTTTAGATTTTTCTCTATTTTACATCTTTTAATGAAGATGCTTTGAATTTTTATATATTTTTGCCTTGTCGCGAACTGAGAACATAATTGATTGAATGAGAAATATATCTCTCATGAAATTCGAGGAAATGAGTTTAAATGAAGTGAAGCAAAAAATGTGTATAATTTGATGGGCCGTACAAGGAAGTCGTGATATCCAAGTAAGCCTTACCTCATATTGGCATATTAAAATCAGAGATACAGTGACATAACTGAATTATCAAAAGACTGTAGAAACTTACAACAATGAATCTCAATCTCAATGTTCGTGCGTTTTTGTTCTATGCAAAGTTCTGCTAAGTGACAGCATGCTTTTTTATTTTGGCGATGTTTGCAATGAGCTGGATTTCTCAATCAGCTAGTTGCATTGTTTGTTTTTACTTAATCTTGTTGCATGCCGTCAAGATCAAACAACTTTTAAGAATTGTTCTGAAAATGTTCAGGGCAGTACGTAGGACAGAATTAACCATGGAAAGGATTCCAAGACGAACTTTATAACTTCAACGCATTTAATGAAATAAGTAATACAGTGATTTAATGAAAGAATACAGTAACAAAAACAATATTTAAAAGTCAAGGATTATTGAAGCCATCCATGAAATTTTAGATCCAAATATACCCCCCCCCAAATAAAACTAGTATGTATAATGAATTAATTAAGAAATAGATTCAATATGGGAACAGAAAAAAAAAATTGTTTCAATCTTTAAAACAGTGAAGTGATGAGGAGCTGTTGAAGAATAGTACTGTGACACCTATCTCCAAAATCACTGCACCACTGGACATGGTGTAAGAATAAAAATTCTATTTGCGTTGGAAAATAATCTTTCTTGTTTCTAGACCAGCAGCTGAACTTTATGGAATGCTTTGTTTGTGAAATAAGAAAATATATCACAACACTTCCGTTTAACCAATCACTAAGAAGAATTTTAATTTCCGAAGTTAAGTTCATCGTAAAATTTCCTTTCAACTCCCTGTAGAAAATATAAATTATTAATGAACTGTCAAAATCACTTAACAAAATTTCATCTTCTCCACCATTTGAAAACAATGTCAAAGTTGTATTGGAACTACTAAAAAGCACTTTTAGAGTTTGATACGCCTTTGTATTTTTCAGAGTGACATTTAGAGCTAATACAGAGGCTGTTCACATATTTTTTAGACGATGTATATTGTATTTACAAAACTAAATTACATAAAATTCTTGTGTTTTAAATGTTCTATTTGACATACCTTATTCTGAATTATCTTTCGACACCGCAATTTCCAGGATAATAATACCTTTTTAAGTGGCAGAAGAAGTATTCTATCCCATTCCTCCAGAACAGCTTTCCAGAGTCCTGTTAGGGTTTTGGGACAACGTTTGGATAATGCAGTTTTTAAAAGTCCGAAGGCACAAAAATCCATAGGTGACGCATCGGGAGATTTAGTAGGGATATCAGTGAAGGGTATGGCCTTTGTTAAATATTTGCATAGTCACCTGTAGTAACGGCAACCGCCGGCAATAAAAGGAGGTGCTTTCCTTAGTGGCACCGCAGTTCCTTTTAGTTCGAGCCAGAATAGACCTGCCCGGGGAGAAGCCAGGGGATGAGAGATTCCGGTTTCCGCCCTGTTCCGGTTCCCGTCTTGTTGCGGATCCAGTCCTGTTCCGGTTCCCGTCTTGTTCCAGTCCTGTTCCGGTCCTGATCCAGTCCTATTCCAGTTCCAGCGTGGCCGTTTAAGTCCAAAACACGTAGGAGCGGATGTCTGAATTCAGCGAAATGGAGATATAAGCCGAAAGGGCTAGATGGATTCTGTCTTTTAAGGGAAAGTGTTCTTCACCGTGCCGGCATAGCTGTTACTTTAAAGCACTTTGAAGTTTTTTCCACCCAAGATGTTAAGTTTCGTTTATGATGTTAAGTTTTCATCAGTGTTGAAGTTCCAGTTAAATAAACCTTTAAGTTTTAGACAAGGTTTTTGTGTTCTTCAGAAAATTTTAGATTCGAAGTCAGATATAGCACATAGGATTATTATCGGAAAAATCAACAGCCTTGATACCAGTTTTTTTGTTCCATTTCTTTTAGGAAATTTACAGTGGATTTTGATGTGTGACTGCTAGCTTTGTCCTGATGGAGTCTCACAGATCGATGGCACTGTGGGTAAAGCGATGGTATTTCATTCAAAAAAATTGGCGATAAAATATGTTTCTGATAGTATTTGGAGTTAATCTTGACATTTTTTTGCACTCTCTTTATTTTTAACTTGCTATTATAAGAAAAACCAGCAACAATCATGAATCCCTTAGAAAAACTTTCTTTCGATTCTTTGAACCATGTACTTAAATGTTTCTAAGATTTCTCCCCTTTTTATGATAATAAATGGCTCTCTTTTTGTTACAGTCATTTAAATACAAACATCCATGCTTCATCTATTGTGACAATTGTTTTCCATTTTCCTTGGATAAATGTTTCTCATATAGAATTCTACAGCGTGTCCTGCGTTGAGCGATGTGCTTTGGAAGAAAGACGATGCACATTGCGTTTTTTCGCTTTCTTAAGATTTAAATCAGAACGTTTATCATTTTTGTTTACAGTTGGACACCGAGCATTTTAATGATTTTGCAACTGTCCTTTGACTCGAAGGGATTTTCTTTTAACATTAAACAACGTACCTTTGCAATAGTCGAAGATGTCCGTTTTTTCCTTATTTTGGTCCCACTTGAGGCTCCAATTTGACGTTTTTTATCTTTTTTGTTGATGGTATTACCTATCGACGCTTCAGATATCACAAAACCATGACTCTCACATCGTTTTTGGATAACGGAGTATGCATATTTCTCTTCGGAAAGAGCGTAAATGTAGCCTTCGAACCACTGCTTTGTTAAATTCGCCATTTTGAATAAACACTAAACTTTCAAGCCACAGATGATAATTTTGACTTTTAAAAACATAGTACAATTGCAATGACTTCTTTTGCAGCAAACGATTTTTTATTACCGCTTAACAAAATTGTCTAAAAAATGTGCGAACAGCCTCTGTGTTATAAAAGAACATTCAGCTCTGTGGCCTAATTGTAAAGACTAATTCTATCCCATTCCTCCCGAACAGCTTTCCAGAGTCCTGTTAGGGTTTTGGGACAACGTTTGGATAATGCAGTTTTTAAAAGTCCGAAGGCACAAAAATCCATAGGTGACGCATCGGGAGATTTAGTAGGGATATCAGTGAAGGGTGTGGCACCGTCTGTATGGAAGTATTTACTTGAAATGTTAGTGTGTCTGAATATGTCTAGGAACATAATTCGATGTACTGGAAATATTTTAACTTATGGGCAGGTCAATATTGTATTTAGAAAATATCTCTAAACCTCAATAGGCATAACATAATAAGAGATATCTACTCACATTCCAATGCCCATTTGTGCAGATCTTGCAAAAATTCCGGTACTTCTTTTTATTATTGTCTCTTTGTTCGTAAATTCGCTTCACTAAATCTCGCGCGACATCCTGCATAGGATAGAGGTAGGCTTGGATAGTTTTGGGCTTCATGATGTGCTTCTGAGTTTTCGATCTGAGGTCCCACCATTCTTTGCCATCCCTATATGAAACGAAATGTTTTTAAATGTCTTTAATACAATTAATGCTATATGAAATAAAGCTTTTCAAAAGAAAGTAAATTAAATTTTTAATTTCTTCCAGAAGAAACATTTTCCAGAAAAAGAAAATCTAAAATATCGTTTGATGTGTTATTTTGTGATTTTACTTTAATCACATTAAGACAGCTGATGAAGTTGTTACTATAAGCTTTTAAAATTTCTAATACTTTTATACTCAAATAATGTTGCACTTTATTTTTCATGAGACGAATTATTACTAAGAGTTTTTGAGATGTTTCCGAATTTAATTAATTAATCTTTGAATATTAAAAATATGAACATATATTTGCAAAATAGCAAGCTTTCATAGAAGTTAGCTCCTAATATTAAATATTGGTTGTAAGGTTTCTTTATATTGATTAACCCGTTATTTTATGTTTTGGATCTTTAATGGCACTTTTTTCCCTTCCATTTTCCTCCAGAATGCAAATTAGTTCCGATTGTATCTAAGGTGAGGTATTTTAGATTGTAAGACAAAGCATGTTTTGCCTCTCGAGGCCGTGTTACTACGTTACTAGAGCAGATAAGGTTTATAGTCTTCGGCCTTGCATTATAATTACCGATGGTGAATATACATGCCGGTTAAGTTTTCAACCAACTTCCCATTAACTGATCTGTGTAGCTTTTGGCTACTATCTTATTTAACTTAAATTTGACATTTGACTTACTGTTATCTCGCCACAGTGGTTGGCTGATTTGTGATTTGTAAGCACCAAATGTGCCTTCTATTCCTCTTCTTTTTAAATAAAAGGTCTTTTAAATAAAGGTATACTCAAGTAGTTTCAGTAGTTGTTTTAGACTTAGCACTAAATCGTTTAACGTCTACCAAGAGTTTGATCGCTATTGAATGATCGTTAAATACATCAAACGTCACATGGTAAATTCCAAACCTATTTAAAAGTATTTCACATATAAACAGTAACGTTGAGTTTGATTATTGACATACTATGAGTAAATCAGCAAATAGTTAATATTCTGATCTCAAGCATAAACGTTTTATGTACCTCATATGAATTTTCTAAAAAATAATAAATTTGCAACTTTATTATATATATGCATTTAGATACAAAGAAAATGTGAATAACTTTTAAGTGTCATATTTCCAATAAAAGGACATAAACCGATATGGAAAGATTTTTTTTTGTTACATTCAGAATGAAATCACTAAGAGAAGAAATAAAACACTTGTATTAGATTAATGCATAACTATTGACCACCGACTCTTGTTAGATTGATTTTTCAAGCAAGCTCATTTTTTAAAAAAATATTATAATTTAAATAAGCTCCGATTTCGTAGCAATTTTCCAAGTTTCTGAATTTTTTTTACTTCAATGTTAATAAAATGAAAGAAGTTGAATGAATAATACAAACTAAAATTTGCTGAAGTAAATATGAAAGTGTTGCAATTCTTTCAGAAGCCTTCTATAAAATGAATCGCCAGCAAATTCTATACCATAATTCTCGGTAATTATTTAAAAATAGAAAATTAGTTCTTTGAAATTTATTAAATAATATAATATATTTTCAAGCTCAACACTACGTACTATGAAAAATTTTTGAAATTTTATTCACAAAATTTACTAAATATTTTATAGTGAGTACGAATTTTTCTCTTCTTTACTTGGCTTTGAGTCTTCAAATAATATACTAATGTATATCGAAACACATGAGCAGGAAAATCATTTTCTAAGTAATGTAACTAATGAAATGTAAACCTCGTTAAGGAATCAATAACGACAATTTTTTTTTACTCTTCTGTTCAAACACAACAATAATTTTGTTATTTCCTAGTATCCATTTCAATTATTTTCCCTGACCGAATTTGAATAACCTAGTCCAACTTTTACTTACAGCACCATAATTCCAGTTGTCTTGTACCATTCCTTTCTATATTCCCTGTATGCTTTGAGAGTTGAAAATTAACCCCTCGTTGGGTACTGGCCTTCATTTTTAAACAATATCTCCATAGTCTTGGGATTATAGCTCTGAATAATATTTAAGTGTCCAATTTTTTCACGTATTATATCACCATACTGAGCGTATTTTTGTCGATCGGCTATATGCTGCTTTTGAAGACTGTAACGACCTGTAAGAAGGAACAGTATTTTAGAAATATATATATATCTAAGCATTTCGTGTGAAATATGACCAGTTAATATTTCTTGCTTTAGGTCATTTGATGTAACATGATTTTACACCCTACGTTAATATAATAATCAAATAAGTATTAACCAGTTCACGACAAAAATTTTCCTTCAAACTCCGTACACTTTTAGACATCCTGTACACAAATATAAGCACCAAAAATTAGTGAAGGCCATTGATAATGCCTTATTTGAAAAAATTATTTGAAACAAATATTGTCATAGAATTAATTCACATCAGGGATCTGGCGATATCTATGGATACGTCTTCCTGTAGCTGCAATGACTAGTCTACGACTGTTGTAATCACGTCGATTTTAACGACTATCCTAACGCATTAATTAGATTCAACATACATTTAGAGAAACGTATTGTAACTTCTTGCTCATGTTATCTATCTCATATCATGAGCAAACTTTATCACAAAGGTGGAGAAGATTGGTATTTTCCGCAGTCGTTTACGCTCGTTGCAAAATTAGTGCTTACTGCAATTTTTTGCCTATTAGTTTTTTCATAATGTTGGTTATTCATATTTCAAAACTCCTATTTTCGAGCTTCTAAATGTTGTACTTTCATATGTTTTCAGAGATCATCAGGGGTTATTTTTGGTATGTGAATTTGTATATATATGAGATCCAACAAATGCAAGTTTTAGAGTTAACTTTAGGCTCGAAATGAGTAATATTTATCTTATGAGATCGATCGTGCCGTTAAATTTCAAAATTAAGTATGCTCAAGGAATCGCAAGTATAATTTAAGGATTAACATGGCCCGTATGGATTAGCTTTCTTACGGCCCTCATCTTATTATAACTTCCCTTATTTTTATGAATTTGGTAACTGAATCTATTATTTATTTTATACATTAGCATAAATGCATGGATTTACCAACATTGTCTATAATTTATTAGGATGAGTTATATCAATCAGCTACAATCATATTAGTAGTGTATAAGATGGCATTTTCATTACTAAAATGCATTTTACTGTCGCACAAAAGTTTAAAATGCTTGCGTTAATATAAAAAGGCTCTCATTTTTAAGTACACAAAAAAAAAAGGACTCAGGTTATACAAACTGCTCAAATAACTGAACAGTTATATTAAAACAGCAGAATCAAAAATAGGCAACTGTTTCTAAAATGCTGAAGGCTTCAAAATTTAGCAAAATCACTTGAATTTCCATAGCATTGTAAATAATGGTCCTATTTTATTTATAAAAAAACAGTATTAAAAATGCCTTATCTTAATATATATGTGTTTAAGAAGTATTCAGAAAATGAATTGATTTAAGATTTTGAGATATTTTAACAGATGAAAAAATAAGGTAATGATAAGAAAACAATTCCTATTATTTGTCCTTCTTTCTGCTCTAAACAAGAGTTACATTTTTCAATCTGTAGCAAGAAAGACGAAAGCCTCCGCTCATATACTGAACCGATTCAAAGATGAAATCTTTTTTATGTCATTGTAAAGAACAGAACTATCAATTTTACTTGATTAAATTACAGTAAAAGAAATAAGCTGATAATGCAAAAACAAATTTTCCGTTTTTCTACTTAGCTACTATATATATATTTATTTAAAATCTGTATTGTATAATAAGATCTAATAAGATCTAAATTTAACTCTTACGATACAATAAGATATTATAGAAAGTAAATATTCATTCGTACGAGCATAAATTTTTCAATCTGTAACAAGAAAACTGAAAAAAAGCCTCTTTCATAATGAACCGACTGAAAGATAAAATCTTTTATCATGTCCCTGTAAATATTAAATTACAGTAAAAGAAATAAGCTGATATTACAAAAACAAATTTTTCTCTTTCTGCTTAGTTACTATAAATATTTACTTAAAATCTCTATTAATTTTGGCTTTTTATTTAACGCTTTTATCAACGAATGTATGCGAATAATTGTTGACGCACATAATTACTAAATTACAGACTATATTGGCTCATTCAAAAAGTAAATAAATAACATAAATTTGCTTAGCGTCCAAAACATTATGCAATTAAAAATCCAATATGCCAAAGAAGAAGTATTTTAGATTCTCATATTATGTACTCTATATTTATTAAAGTTCCTAAATGTTAAAGTGTGAAGTAGGAAGTTATTTTATGCCACTCAAAATTTGCCTTACAACCAATTCAGTATTGTTCACGATAATAGCTGAAAGCCAATATTAGAAAACCTTACTCTAATCTGTTTCAATATGATTACAAGTAAGTTTAATAATTATGTACTTTAATTACGGTAATTAATATTCCGTTTCACATTATACCCCTTTCCGCCAAAAAATCAGAAATAGCAATGAAATTGCAGAAATTCAGATGTTTTATCAAATTTTTGTTAGAAGATAAAAATATATAAATTAAAACTAAACTTAGTGGCACAACAGCCCTAAGCCATGGCCTGCTGTGTCCTAGTATCTGTTTTCTTGATCGTGGGCCTCGGCGTGCATGAGCATATACCCTGCACAAGCGGTCAGCTGTCAAAAATATATAAATAGCCTTATTATGCCTCTTAGTGCTTTTTAAATGTGAAAAAAGCTAACTCGTACAAAAAACCCTAAAAAAATGAGCATTCTAGTAATTTATGTCTCAGAATCCGTTTTCAACTACAACATAAAAACTTCGAGTTTTAATTTGAAAAATGCATAATATTTTCATGTAAAATTGTAAATATTTACTAGTCTCTTACATGTATATGCGAATTATTTTTCATTTTTAATGTATTATAGAGTGCGTAAATTCTAGAGCAAAGCAGTGAGCATCAGAAAATTCAATTAAAAAGTAAAGGGTTACGCAAGGCTTACCAAACAATTCTGAAGTGACTTGATTGCAGAAAGGAATTAATACTTAATGTAGCAATAAATTTTACCTTTAACGTGCAAAAAATGATAAAAAATAATTAGAAAACTCGGTCATAGAAATCAACAAAATAAAATGTGCAACAAAATTAAAATAAATGGTAAATGGTATCAATTAATGTTGGTGAGATATCTATTTAAAAATCAAAATCATATCTTACCAATCAGGGGCATATAAACCCAAGCACTTCCAATAATTGGGAAAGTAGGTATACTGGGTATTTGTTCAAAAGGTTTGGCATTTGCAAGTTTAGGATCTTCATATCTGTTTATATCAGCAGCAACAGTAGCCACCCGTGTAACAGACAACACAAATACTTGACTTGAGTGCTTTAAGTGGTGACATTTCCGAAATATATTTCCAATATTATGATATGACATTTTAGTACCTACAAGAATTCAGAATATAGAAATTGTTTAATATTTACTATTCTATAATAAAATAGTATGATACCTTGAGTCAAAAATGAAAGATGTCAGATTATGCTCAGAACAGATCAATAAAACATCTCGATTTTTGTCTACCTTAAATCATATTTAATCTCTCTACAATAATATTTTCGTCCTTTTCTGTACTAAATACTTTGAACCATCTGACACAGCTGTTACCTATCATAAATATATTATTGCAGTTTTAAAGGAAATGTAAGAAATGTAATGAAAATGGTATTTAAGACATGCATTCAGTTGGAAAATGCTAATTAAATGACATCTTACATATAGCTAACAAACTGATGAAACCGCTTAGTACTGTTAGATACATATCCAGCCATTTTCTGGCATAGCCATTTTCTGGCATGCGGATGATTCCTAAATTTTCTTATTATATAAAAGTAAAGAAAAAAAATTAATTCCTGAACAAAAGCTAATTGCATTGAGGAAAGTCTTGATGAAAATGATAGCTCTAGGTATACTTTACCATAATAAATTACATACACGTTTCATCTGCCAGCTAAGTTAAAGAAAGAGTACTGACAAGAAAGGCTTGTAAAAGCGGGAATACCTTTGATGGGAAAACACTTCTGAAAAAAAAAATTACATATAAACCTGCTTATCTAAAATCGCATAACTGTAAAAAAATAGTTGCTATTCTTGTATCTTAACAAATAAAATAGCTGATGTGGACACCACATGACTTCCTTGTACGGCCTGTTAAATTAGACACATTTTTTGCTGCATTTCATTTAAACTTATTTCCCCGAATTTCATTAGATATAGATTTCTCATGCAATTAATTCTGCTTTTACTTGGCGTCAAGGTAAAAATACAAAGAATCTCAAATACGTAAAAACTCAATCTTCACTAAAAATTGAAAAATACGGGAAAACAACATGTTATAGCACTCATATACACAATTTCAACGTTCTAAAGCCTCCATACGTACGTACAGATGTCACGAAAAAACAAATCTCTCTGAATCCATTTTATACCCATTTTACAATCTGTTTTGGAAAGAGAGTCCTTTATTCTCTCCGAGATTACAATACTTCGTACAAGGAAATAAATAGGCTAAATTATACACATATTTTTCTAGAATTTCAAAATTATATTTTCCAAGTCCGCATATGCTCAATTCTTGTAACGAAGCTTTAACATGATGATCGAATAGCTACATTCCAAACCTTTATTTCTGAGCATGTTTTCCATCTGAGATTTATTTGCTTTCATTTTACTTATTTATTAATTACAGTTAGCAACATATTTACTTTTATTCAGTGTTTCTTTTCTCTTTAGTTCTAGTTTACACAAAAAGATCACATAAAAATTTAATGCAAAAAACTTCTTCGTTATCTTACCTTACGTGATCTCCAACATAAAAGCTTCTCGTATAATTATGGAGCAAGTCACCGGAGGATTAATAGAATGGAGGATTAATAGAATATAAAATTTAAGAAAAACATAAAAATCTAAGAATGCAGTTCTCACGGCATCACGGCAAGATCCTTTTCTACGTTTTAGCTGAGGCCCTTTTCATCACGTCATCAACACGGCTAGGAAAGGCTAAGGTTGTTAACTCTCGGAGATGGGCAGAAATAATTCGGAGACGATCCAATGGTCTCTGCAAATTTTATGAAAGCTCTCTCTTTAACTTGAAGAACTTTGTTTTTATGTACGTTTACTAATTTGCATCCAGGAGTGAGCCGTTGAAAGTACTAGTGGCTAAAGATAAAAATATAAAGGTAATTTTTTAAATAACCATAAAACCTTATAATGTATTTTACAGTAGTTATACGTACTAGATTGAATAAAAGTAGACTAATAATTGTCATTGATTGGGATCATTATTTTTGTAATAATTATTTCCAGCTGATAATATCATATTTTACACACACGTTTGGCATATTAATAAAATACTGGTATATCTAAGGACCGCGCACAATAAATTCTGAAAAACTGTGGAAATTTCAAAATAGATATTAACGGCAAATTGTTTCAATGTATTACGCCCCTATAAATATTTCGTTTCACAAAGATCGAACGACATTAAAAAATATCCGAGATCAAATGCAGTTCAATATGGGCTGTTTGGAGACTGAAATTCCTATCATTCTCTAACATCATCTGTGATACTATTAAAATCTGAATTTACTAAACTATATTTTTTGTTATTAGTTATATCTAAATTTGATTTTCTTTTAATCACTTTGTAAATTTATCACGAACAGTCGGGGTTAATTTTCAATAATAACTTAATTGTACTTTTTGCTAAAACATTTAACGACCTTCGTTGAATCTTGGAGTTCTTTTTAGACGATTGAGGGGAAACTGCAAATATCGCCGCCCCTTACTTACACTTCCCCCCCCAACAGTCGGATACTTGCTCGAAGGCATTCTTCTTGCTTCAGGATAATACTATTTATTCCATTTGGGTGCAGCAAAAAATTTATGAAACAGTATTACGAATAATTAAGACACAATAACACGCCGAATAAGTACTAATTCAGAAGTCAAACAACAAAAATCAGCATTATATTTACAAAATTTTCACAGGACTAGTTTCGATGGTTTTACCGAACCACCATCCTCAGCTGCAAAACCGCAAATGAACAAGATAAGAAATAATGATTAGATAAGATCAGAAAGCCTGGACAAGAATAAGCAAGTGACGCCATTTGTTGGTAAAATCAGAACTAAAACATAATTTCTTTAAAGGCCGAAGGCAAATTTGGATTGGAATTAGGATCGTTAACTAGAACAGAAAGATTTTTATGAATGTGAAATGCCTCTAGAAAATCCAGTTCTCCAATGGAAGATGTTTTTTGAATAATTATGGCAGCAGAAAAATTGAAAGTGTGATTTTCGGACCAACAATGTTGAGCAACAGAAGACTTCTGTGTTTCCTTTTTTCTAACATATGCCTCATGATCCTTGACGCGAAATTTTAAGGCTGTCTTAGTTTGGCCAATGTAAATTAAACCACACTGGCAAGGAATCCTATAAATACCCCCAGGAATTCATATCCGGATATGATTAAAATTTCGCGTCAAGGAACATGAGGCATATGTTAGAAAAAAGGAAATGGGGTCCTTGAGTATGGAACTCGGAATATTATTGATGGGAGAATAAACAACCCGAAAGTTGAATTTCTGCAAAATATGTGCAACTTTATAGCTAATTGATGGAAAGAAGGGAATGACAACAGAATTTTTATAATCTCCTAAAAAAAGAGTGTGCCTTTTAGTGTGTTGAGATGAGAATTTTTAACTGCTTGATTAATAATGTTGGGTGAAAAGCCCCTGTCAATAGCTATTGCTTTTAATAATTTAGTTCTTCATCAAGGGCTAGTTTGGAGGAGCAAACTTGAAGAGCACGGAAAACATAGGAATAAAATGAAGCTAACTTTTGTTTAGTCGGATGACATGATTTAAAGTGTGGTGGAAGGCAAACCGATGAAGGTTTACGGTAAACCGTAGTACTGAAGTTGGATGTGTTACGTGTGACCAGAATGTCGAGAAACGGAAGAGAATTGCAAGTCTCAAGTTCAAAAGTGAACTGAATAGCAGGATCAATGGAATTCATTGTTGAAATAACTTTATTTAAATCATCTTTGTTACCTTCAAACAGGGTAAAAGTATCGTCTACATAGCGGAACCATGCCGGGAAGTTTAAAGTTTCAAACAATTTTGATTCATAATAATGCATGTAGATATCAGCCAGGATGGGACTGAGGGGGCTTCCCATGGTTAATCCCTCAGTTTGCTTGTAATATTTATTTTGGAAAACAAAATGTGTTTGTTTCAAACAGAGTTGAGCGAGAGAAATTAGCTCATCAATTTCGATGCAAGAGAAATGAAATTCGCGAATTTACATCAAAAGAAACCATGAGTAAATTACTGGGAGAAATGATTTTAAACTTTTTTACAAACTCTATTGAATTTTTTATGGTGTAAATTTTATTGTCTAATAGAGTGGAAAATCTAAAAACTAAATATTTAGCTAATGGATATGAGGCAATACCTAAATTTGATACAATAGGGCGGAAAGGAATACCACTTTTATGAATTTTGGAGAGAGCATATAATCTGGCACAATTTGCAACAGATGGGATAAGCGAATGTTTTAAGTTGCTTGAAATGATTTGCGAAGATTTGATCGCAGTCTTTATTTTTGACAAGTCCGAAGGTGAAGGATCTTTAGGGATCGGATTATATGGTCCTTCGTTTAAGAGTTTAGTGACACCATCGATGTAAGTGTTCTGATCCATGACGACTATCTGGCCACCTTTGTCGGCTTTTGAAATAATAATAGCCGGATTAGAATGAATTTCGCGAATTGTGGCTCTTTCTCTCGCAGTTAGATTTGGTTTCAAAGGTTTATTATTGAATTTCACATTATGAGCGATAAGATGTCTAAATATTTAGTTTCTAGATTTTCCACTCTATTAGACCATAACATTTACACCATAAAAAATTCAATAGAGTTTGTAAAAAAGGTTAAAAACACTTCTCCCAGTAATTTACTCATGGTTTCTTTTGATGTAAAATCATTATTCACCAATGTCCCAGTGGAGGGTGCATTAAGATGTCTAGAACCAGACTTCGCGAATTTCATTTCTCTTGCATCGAAATTGATCAGCTAATATCTCTCACTCAACTCTGTTTGAAACAAACACATTTTGTTTTCCAAAATAAATATTACAAGCAAACTGAGGGATTAACCATGGGAAGCCCCCTCAGTCCCATCCTGGCTGATATCTACATGCATTATTATGAATCAAAATTGTTTGAAACTTTAAACTTCCCGGCATGGTTCCGCTATGTAGACGATACTTTTACCCTGTTTGAAGGTAACAAAGATGATTTAAATAAAGTTATTTCAACAATGAATTCCATTGATCCTGCTATTCAGTTCACTTTTGAACTTGAGACTTGCAATTCTCTTCCGTTTCTCGACATTCTGGTCACACGTAACACATCCAACTTCAGTACTACGGTTTACCGTAAACCTTCATCGGTTTGCCTTCCACCACACTTTAAATCATGTCATCCGACTAAACAAAAGTTAGCTTCATTTTATTCCTATGTTTTCCGTGCTCTTCAAGTTTGCTCCTCCAAACTAGCCCTTGATGAAGAACTAAATTATTTAAAAGCAATAGCTATTCACAGGGGCTTTTCACCCAACATTATTAATCAAGCAGTTAAAAGATTCTCATCTCAACACACTAAAAGGCACACTCTTTTTTTTTAGGAGATTATAAAAATTCTGTTGTCATTCCCTTCTTTCCATCAATTAGCTATAAAGTTGCTCATATTTTGCAGAAATTCAACTTTCGGGTTGTTTATTCTCCCATCAATATTCCGAGTTCCATACTCAAGGACTCCATTCCGGATATGAATTCCTGGGGTATTTATAGGATTCCTTGCCAGTGTGGTTTAATTTACATTGGCCAAACTAAGAGAGCCTTAAAATTTCGCGTCAAGGATCATGAGGCATATGTTAGAAAAAAGGAAACACAGAAGTCTTCTGTTGCTCAACATTGTTGGTCCGAAAATCACACTTTCAATTTTTCTGCTGCCAAAATTATTCAAGAAACATCTTCCATTGGAGAACTGGATTTTCTAGAGGCATTTCACATTCATAAAAATCTTTCTGTTCTAGTTAACGATCCTAATTCCAATCCAAATTTGCCTTCGGCCTTTAAAGAAATTGTGTTTTAGTTCTGGTTTCACCAACAGATGGCGCCACTTGCTTATTCTTGTCCAGGCTTTCTTATCTTATCTAATCATTATTTTCTATCTTGTTCATTTGAGGTTTTGCAGCTGAGGATGGTGGTTGGGTAAAACCATCGAAACTAGTCCTGTGAAAATTTTGTAAATATAACGCTGATTTTTGTTGTTTGACTTCTGAATTAGTATTACGAATATTATTCTCATTTGTTTCATGATTATTTAGTCTAATGTTTTCAGGTATCCTTCTTACCCTCGAAACCACAAATAAATAAATAAATAAATAAATAAAAATAAATAAGTAAAAATAAAAATAAAAAATAATAAATAAGTAAAAATAAAAATAAAAATAAAAATCACTTCGAAAAAGATTTTTTAACCAACCCGTTAGCCATAAAATTGACAATCGAGTAGCATTCTTAAGTTGCTTTATACCGGTCATAAATACTGACTTTGTTGGCATAGTTTACTTCCAAACTGAAAACAACTATCAGGCAGATGGAATGGACATCGTGCTTCAAATCTGAAGCCGAAAACGACTCAGTTTTCGATCACACATCCCTGTCTTTTATCGGCCATCATTCGCTCTCTGTCAAATATGGAATGTTTTAGTTTCTGGTGATATTCTCAATGATATTTTCGATATTTTTAAAATTTAAAGTTATTTAGCGGTTTGTTGTTCTGATGCTGAATATTCAGAAAGAACTGTTGCATCGAAAAAAAAAAAAAAAAAATTTAACCCTGGCGATCACGCGGTTTTTATAGATAAAATAATGCATAGTTCCTTTTCCATTCGCCTTGTTCCTGCTTTCCTTTGTGTTAAAATTCCTCAGGGTTGCTTGTTTTTGCAATAAAAATATCTGTATATAGTATAGGTCGGAGATAAGACAATGCTGGATGTAACAAATGTTATGTGTTTAAAAACTGTTTTTTTAACATTTTTATGGATAATACACATTAAAATGTTCAAAACTTAAAACATTTAATTTTTAATTCCACCATGCTATTAAGTAAACTTTATAGCATGTTGGAATTAGGATACACAAATACGATTATTTGAAGGATTTTTAAAAAATGCAATTTCAGTGGTTTGATTTATTTAATTACGGCAAAGCACACTAGGGTTACCTTCCTAGGGGAATGGATGCCTTCGTCGAGGACTTTCTAAAGGAAACTGACTCGTATACACGTTACACATGGGGAAACCACGAAAACGCCCATGCAGCCAGCCCGTTCGCGGGATTTCTCGGACCGAACTCCCAGTGTTCAGCGACTTTACCGCTCGGCCGCTGGTGGGCGCAATTTTAATGATTTTATTTACGAAATTTCAAATTCTCTAAAATTTTGATTTAAATTAATTAAAATTAATAATTTTCTAGAGAAGTAAAATGAAATAATTTGAATGTTATATTTTATTTACTAGCATATATTCTGCATATTATTATAAAAGTCTGTTTTGTATTTTTGCTTAATGCTCTTCATAACTCTTACCACGTTTTTGATAATATGGATGAATATGGTAAGTATTTAAATGTCGAGGAGTAAGAAATCGTGTAATTTAAACTGTCATCATGGAATCTAATTTTTTTAATTTGTCTTTATATTCATATTTCCGTTATAAAGTGTACTGATCAGTATTCATGGAATGAAAATTACGTTATTTTCATTATGTACATAAAATAGTTTTAGAAGTTTTATCACTTTTTACAGAAGAACATTTTTTATTTTTCTTCAATTTTTGTTTCCGGTTAGGATTTCGGATAAGCAATGTTACGTTTATCATGACTTTTTAATATTAAAATATTACTTATTACTGCTATTATTCTGCATACAATTTCTATTTTATGATCGTCACTTAAATTATCCATGCATATTTAAGCACGCAGAAGAAGTAATTGCTCTGAAATTACACCTCGATGATTATCATTGCTATTTAAAGGCATGTATTAATAGCGTATTTTACGGTTATTGCAAACTGATAAGTCTTCGAAAATTTGATTGTGGTAATTTTAAGAAGCATTTGAATAATGTGACGAAAATTTTTAATTTACTTGCGAAGCGGGAATTGTAAGTATGTCCGAGACAGCGAAAAGCATATTGAAAATAGCAGTCTGACAGAACCGACAAAAACAAGCAGGACAAGAAAGCTTATCTTTGAATAGACTTCACACATCCTATAAAAGTATAAAAGGGCTACTCGTATCCGTTCCGTTTACTTCTCACTTCCATGCTATCAATACTCAAAACGAAAATGTAAAACTAACCTCAAAGTAGAGGGAACGCAATGCACAAATGAACATTTTGCATTTTATAAATACAGAAAAATCATAAGAAGTAAATCATCCTTACTTATATGTAGCCCGAAATGTTCCTCTTCGATAATTATAAAATGCTCCTGAATGACAGGTGAAGCAAATCAGTCTCTCAAATTACATCTGTATGAATTTTCTCTTTGTTGCAATATCAGAGCCTTATCAGTAGATAATTACGGAATTCCTAACATCCAATAAAGATTCAAAATCGAGGTAATTCCATAATGAAATAAAATAGCCTTGTCATTCAAAAGTAATAAAGAGCATTATTGATATACTAGAACCAAGATATCGAGAATTAAAAGGTTATTCGAATCTAAAACTGAATAAAATCCCACTTCAGACTTCATAATTAAGGCAGTTTTATTTTTTTTTATCAAATTTTAGTTCAAGGTTATATTATGTTAGATAATCTAATGCATTATGTAATGTACTGTCTTGTCTGCCATTAAGTGATAAGAAACTGTGAAGAATAATCGGATAAGGAAAGCTATAAACATTACTATTATAAAGTCAGTAACAGAGGATTGTTATTTTTAGCCCAAACGGGCGTTAGCCCAAAAGAGCTGTTGGCCACGAAATGGCGTCTTAAGTCGAATTACTAAAAGCATTGAATCATTGTTCAAATTGTTTCTATCAAATATTATTGCCCTATATTATATTTAAAGAAACTAAATAATGAAGAATATGTATATATGTTTCTCGCAGTGTGAAAAAACGACGGTACCTAGAGCCATCAAATTTTGAATAACGTAGTCTTCTACCAGAATATGGGCACCTAGAAGCCCGAATTCGGAATTTGTTTTATTATGTATTTAATATTTTGTATAACTTTAACGAATTTTTATTAAAAAACTCAACGATTTCTAAGCGAGAAATGGTAATACTGTACGGAATAAAACAATTTTATATCCAGGGCGCGAGACTGTCCATCAAAAATTATAAAGTTATGCTCTTTTTAATTATTTTTAGCCCAAAGGGGCGTTAGCCAAATGCACTCAACAAGTGTATTTGTATGTAAATGAAGAAAAAGCCCTTTTGTACGTAAAATAAATTCTGAGAGCTTTCAGCTTTTTTTTTTTTTTTTTTTTTTTTTTTTTTTTATTCCTCTTTTTTGAAATAGCTTAGCATAAATTTATTACGATATTAATGCACACATAAAATGAAATTTAAATTAGGGTACACATATCGTATTTGTTGGAGGGTTGTTAATATTATCTCAAGTAAGTGCAGCTGATAGGATATAATTTTATAAAATGGATATGATAATAATTTTATACTTTGAATTAAATACCTTGCGTAAAATTACTTAAGTTGGTATAAGCAAAAACTAAAATGACTTTCTTTACTTTGAATAAAATTGTTTCCAAACTTCAAGCCATACTTAAGGCAACTACTGAATTTTGTATGTTAAAAAAGCTCACAAAGTTTTCTTTCGTATATTTAATACACTTAATAACAAAGAGTATTTTGTTCACCGACGAAATACTCTTTCGTCTATATACGTATTAAATCTCACGATATTCAATTTATGGAATTACTAAAAATAAAACAATAAGTTAAAAAACTTCAAATTTGTGTGAGAAGAAAATTTATCTTTTAAAACTGAAAAGAACGATACCATCAATGAAAATTAAGAAATATTAATATGATGTAGCATGAAATATATTGTAATTAAAAATGAGAAAATGTGAAAAAGCAACTATTTTTAAATCTTGAAAACCTATTGGACCTAGAAAAATGCGCCAAGAAATGAAAATGCATCTGATAATCATGAAAATCAAAAAAAAAAAAAAAAAAAAAAAAGATAAAAAATTTAATCAGAGGCTTTCTCGGAATTATTAGCATAAAAATGTTAATGAAATGAAGAATATGGTGATGTAAAGCGGAAAAGAACAAACATACAGAAATAATAAACACTTTAGTAAAATTTGAAGCACATTTGAGGAAAATAAATGCTTCTATTCAAAACAAAAGCAGTAAAAAATATTGGCTGATGTAAAGCCAGGTTAATTGTCAACTGTTTATAGTTATGGAAGCCGATGATAGATGTTGTTCATTTATGAACCTGGAGTGAAATAATCCAAAGAACATGACTCTATAAACAATGGATGGCAAACTTTTTGTTATTAATTTATGAACCTAGAATGAAATAATTCAAGGGACGAGATTTTTTAAAACATGGATGGCGAACCTTTTGCACAGGACTAGAAATTCCTTTCGGGGGATGGTTCAGGCTCGGCAGGGACCGTACTGGTACTGTCTTGTCTGCCCCTTGGCTGTGGGGTAGCAACCTGGTTATATATTATGGCCATCCTTGGGGGTTTGGTTCGATTCGGTTCTTTCGAAGAGGACTGACAAAGTATGGAACACCCTCTGAATTATTAGATGCTCCCGGAGTGGTGCCCGAGGCAAAGATGACTTCGTTACATTTTTTTTCTATGCGTTTAATCCGTTCTCATGCTTTGTATAAAGCCGAGGGGGGCTATGCCCGCTTGGATGGGTCCCAGAGTTCGAACGTAACAAACTGAAAGGCTAGTCCCAAGGCAGGTGTTCGTCTCTGGATTTCTGTTCATTTATGAGCCAAGAATGAAACAATGCAAGGAACGATACTGCATAAAACCACAGATGGCGAGCCTTTTGTTATTCATTAATGAATCTAGAATGAAATACCCCAATTACGAGACTCTATAAACCATGGATAGCAACCTTTTACGATAAGCGTGCCAGTTAAATTACGGTTTATTATTTTCAGGTTTCCAGTCAGCCACTTTGGTATAGTTCTTTTTTAAAAAAATCATCTTTAACCATTGCTTTCATGTCGAACTACGAAATTATATTTTGTATCTATATTTGCTGTTTAATTATTAACTTGCATCAAATATAAATTGAAAAAAAAAAAAAAAAAAACAGTATCTTAAAAATATTTCAGTTTAATCATAGAATAACGTAAAGTGTTCTAGGGCAAACACCCTTCATTGTAAATGAAAAAATAATAATAATAATAATAAAAGTAATTAATATTAGATGTTTTTAATTTTTTATAGTATGAAAACTTATATATCAATAAAATTCAAAATATATTATTAATTAATTACCTTTATTTATTCACTTAAAAAGTGGTGTTATCTTTAAAGCGCTTCATTTAATATACTTTTCGAAACACATTCATTTAATATTTTAAATAAATACTACAATATTACATTCAAAAACTACATGAATTTAATCCCATCTAGTACAACATGTGTTGATGAACCTTATTATCCGCGTCATTTACATTTGCGTCATAACTTATTATCCTTAATAATATACAAGATTCGCTTAAATCTGAACCAAGGCGATTTCTCAAGTGGATTTTAGCAATAGAATAGCATAAACAATCAGATTGTCATAAAAATAAAAGCAGTACGTTATAATCCAGCTATCTTACCAATGGGTTTGTCAGGACTAATAGGTCTTTTTACTTGCTTTGGAAACATTACGTGTCCTAAATAGGAACAGGGAGCTTATTAAAGCTATGTTCAAGTATGTGTGGAATAGACGATATAAGCAGGAAGGGTGTACTGAACCCTTTATTCTCTATAAGATTACAGGTGCTCCCGTACTTCGGGATACAGAGACCAACCACTTGTGGTCTGAACGTAAAAATATAAAACTACTAACTAAAATTCTAAATAAAAGCTAACTTTGAATTAGTTTACAAATGCCTATAAGACTGGCCTTTTTAAAAGGTTACGTATGTAGTACGTAAACTGATGAAACTACAATACGTTTTGAATATCAAGAGGACTAAATCTCTCGCCTTAAAGTCAAGCAGCAACTGATAGAAACTCATGAGAATGCACTTCCCCTCTCTCTCTAACTCTTGGCAAAAAGCCACAACTTAAATACTTGGGTGTTAGCAAGTAAATTTGCATTAACAAGTTAAAGCATTTAATTCTTTCCGGAAGTGGAAAATAAGAAAAGATAGTACAGTTTTAAAATAAAATAAACGTTAGTAAAACTTAAGATCCTTACAAGTTTACCATAATATCAAATTCTAAAGAAGATACCGTATTTGCTTTGAAAATAGCTCAAGTGTACCATGCAATTAAACACAATCATTCTTATAATTCACTTGATTGCAATTTCATATAAAATTTAAAAAAATTTCAGAATTCTAAAGTAGCTTTAAAAATATTTTTCAGAAAAAGAAATTTGAAACAATTGTTGCAAATATAAAGTGTTAGTAGTAGTTTCGATCGAAAACAAAAATCATGATCCTCCTCTACAGTTTTGATTGATGGGTTGAGTCAGATTGATGGTTCAAATAAAAAAATTAAAATGTTCCCAGTGTGGGTTCAATATTTTAATATGAAATTCTGTATCATAAATTACATAACTGAATTTTCTGAGAATTTAGATGAAAGTGCAGGTGGAATGTTCCATTGTTTGAAAAGTGTTATGAACAATTTGTGATTAGAATAGATAAGAATTTCTTGCCTTAGTGCAGATAACGCAAATTGTAGTTTTGGAATAAGATGTTCCCTTCGTACCAACATTCTTTCATTAAATGAAAGCTTTGTTAAAGCTAACTCCAAAACTTACATTGCACATAATTTAGAAAAGTGTGCTATAAGACACTCTAATGTAGACATAGAAAATATATTGTTGCGTGTGTACGGGTTCATAATGGATTGAACCAACAAGTCGATAAAAAGTTAATAAAAATTTATTTTCATTCCAAGAAATAAAACAAAATGTTGAAAATTTCCTCAGAGATATTCGTATAATATCGCAATATCTCACAGTAGTTATATTTTGAACTACTAAAATATAACACAGAGAAAGCTAATCCGATCTCCCTGGGAATTCGCTAAAATCAATAACAGCACTAAGTAAATAAATGAAATGAGATTTTTGATCCCGTTTTTTTAAGCTTTTTAATCATGCACGAGAACAATATGGTATTTTCTCCATTTTTCTGGATAACAAAAGAGTACAGTTACGAGATATCTATTTATTAAAATGTTAAATGCGCGTGCTCTTGCATTTTAATATTTCCTGCGTGGCCTTTTCTTCAAATAAGTCTCGTGCTGCATTGCACAGGAATATAAAACAAATTT